TGGCATCTTCCAGATTAGCACCCTGCTCGCAGCCAGACGTGGCAGCAGGGATGAGAGGTGGGGAGAGGGCGCTCTGAGTTTGTAACCGTGTTGTGTAACCCTGAACATTTGGCTGCTGAAAGGTGCTGTAGCCCCATGGGGTTCTCCCCATGGGGGTCACAAGCTCCCCATGGACACATGCTAATGTGAAGGTGGTTCCTTGTGTTGCAGGTCTCGCTCTCGAAGCAGACACTCCCATAAGAGCAGGAGCCGCAGCGCTAGTAGCAGCCGCTCCAAGAGCAGATCTAGATCCAGGTATGTCTTTGTCTTGGGAGAACTGGGGGCTCCCACTTCACTGAGAAGCATCATGTTAAATTTGCAGCAGGAATACTTTGTTTTCCCTCCCATTCTCTGCACGCTGTGCTCAAGCTCTTGCCACACTAAAGCAGAGCTTTCTGTTGCTTTTGCACTTTCAGGTCTGTGTCCCGTTCCAGAAGCAAGAGCCGTAGTCGAAGCAAGAGCCGTAGCAGAGGCCAGAAAGAGAAAAGCAGGACTCCAAGTAAAGAGGATAAAAGTAGGAGCCGCAGCAGGAGTGCAGAGAAGTCCCGAAACAAAAGCAAGGATAAATCTGAGGGCAGTATCCATAACAGTGATGAGAAAGCCAAGAGCAGGAGCCACAGCAAGGAAAAGAGCAGGAGCAGGAGTGGGAGTAAGGAGAGGAGAGAGGCGAAGGAGAGAGTGAGGAGCAGAAGCAAGGAGAAGAGTAGAAGCAAAGACAGGGAGAAGAGCATTAGCAAGGGTAGAAGCAGGAGCAAAAGCAGGGATGAGAGTAGGAGCAGGAGCCACAGCAAAGATAAAAGGAAAAGTAGGAAAAGGAGCAGGGATGACAGCAGAAGTAGAAGCCGAAGCCACAGCAAGAGTGAGAAAAGCAAGAGGCGCAGCAAGCGAGACAGCAAAGGCAGCAGCAAGAAGAGAAGAAAGGACAGCCATGAGCGGGCCAGGTCAGGCTCCAAAGAAAAGGAGCAGCTCAAATCTGAGTCGGACAAGAAAGAGGCAAAAGGCGAGGGGGAGGATGCAGTGTCCCGCTCCAGGTCTAGGTCCATTTCCAAGTTCAAACCAAATATCAAATCAGATTCTCGTTCCAGGTCTAAATCTGATTCAAAGCCAAGATCCCGGTCCAAGTCCAGGTCTAGGTCTGCCTCTCGGTCACACTCTCGGTCGCGGTCAAGGTCCCGTTCCAGATCCTAACCTTGCTGCCACACCACTTGGAATGGTTGGAAAAGTCTTTTGTACATGTTTAGTAGCTGTAACCAAGTGATTGAAGTAGAAACCCTGTCGATGCTGTGTATTTTTAACAACCTGATGGTCTGTCTGTCATTAACTGCAGCACTCTCTCCCTGCAGCGCTCTCTGGTGTGAGGCTGCTCCACTCATTTTCTATTCAATAGAAAGGTTCTCTTTACATGCAGCTCTTCCTTGAGCCCCCAGATTGCCCTGTTTTCCAAGGAGAGCCTTGCAGGGAATGAGCCCAGGTAATGAGCACTGTGCCCTGATGGGTTTATGGGATTGCAATGATGACTGATAGGTAGGTATGATGGATTCAACAGACTTTGCCCTCGATTGATGCCCTTTGATGTCTCCCATTTAGTGGAAGTGCTAAGTCTTAAGTTTCATACTACTTTTGTTCCATATTTTTTGGACTTACAAAGTTGTGAATAGCACAGTCAAAAGGAAAAAAAATAGAGGTACTTGCAGTAATCTATAGGGAAAATAACTATAGTTCCATATTCTGGTATTGTGACAATATCCTTGTTTTATATTAAATTTTTTTATTTTATTTTTCCCTGTCTTGCAAAGTACAGTGATCCCCGTTTCCATGAAATTTGAATAAAGACTATTTTTGCTTGATGACATTTGGTTATGTGGTGCTGTGTTGTGATTATCAGCATTTTCTATTTCTCAAGGTAAGCCTGAATTTGTAGAGAGTCACTCCCAGAAAAAAGGTTCCTAATTCAGAAAGTCACTTCACATTCAGTGTAGGCACAACACTTGAACACAGTCCAGATAAATAACTTATTTCTCCAGCATATTTTTCAGGAGTTTCTCCTCCTACTAAAACACCTGTGCTTGAGAAGCGCCTTCATAAAAGAAAAAGCTGAGCATGTGCTTCTGAGCTTGGAAGCACAGAGGGTGGTGGTGGCTGTTCTGTGCTATGTCCCCAGCATCCCTGGGGACCTGGGGAGATGGGAGGGCAGCTTCTAGCAAGAGTTTTGTAGGTGTGTAGGTGTTCCTGAATAATATCCCAAATTTAGACTTGGGCCATTTGCAAATTGCTCAGACTGAACTTCCCACAATCTCTTCTCCTGCACAATCGGCTTTGAATGAGAAGTGACATCCCCAGCACCTGTTCTGCCTGCAAGCAACATTCTGAAAAATAGAACGCAAAATGTATTTTGTGAGTTCTTGGTCTGGAATAAAAAGGTTAGTTACAGCTTCCTCTAATATTGTCCTTTAGCCAATTCCAAGCCGCTCACAACTTGATGGCAGTGGCTCTCCAGCGAGAGTCACTTCATAGGTGCAGTAATTGCCTGTAATTTGATAATTTGGAACTTGTCCTGCCATATTAAAAAGATTAAGAGGTAATAGATCATCAGAGTTGCTTGCAACACAAAATATATCCCCACACTTTGAGAGGGGTCAGGGCTTGGCAAGTGGCTCAGACTTTATCAAATGTCATATTACCATGGCAGCATGAGACATCTCTGTGGAAGAGATACCTTCAGAAGGAAAAGCCTTTTCCAGCTATATATATATTTAGTACTTTAATATCTTATACTCTCAAAATGACATTTTAAATCCTTTTTGCTGCTTAATACAGAAGCAAACCAGACAAGGCAAGATGTTTGCTAGTAAGGGATAATTAACTGAAAAATAATTTTAAGAAAATCTGAAAATTATACAGTCTAGGTAAAGACTAAAAAGTGACTCCAGTTTCTGCTGCCTGGCAACTCCATTCCAAATGACCACGCCAGATTTTAGTGAGCCCTTTGGGAGAAGCATCTATTCCTTAAATACCCGAGGACAGGCCTCCCACATACCTAAGGGAGGTATGTGGGAAACTTGTCTGAGGTGGAAGTTGTGCAGAAAGCCAAAAATCCTTCACGTATGAGCACCTGGAGCGATGGTGGTTCCTGGGTGTGCAGTGCAGGGTTTGGACACACCACCCACTGCAGGAGCACCTGTGCTTTACTGCCCAGAGCAGGGACAGACCTTGGGATGGGCTCATCCTCCCCAGCCACACGTGTGGGTTGGAGTGTTGGAGCAGGAATTCCCAGGGAATGGACATTTTGAGACATCTTAACTGCTGGGAATAAGTGTGAAGCATTGGGAGTGTTCCCAGAACAGTGATTCCATGGGCAGGGCCAGACACATGCCTCAGCTGAGCACTGCTGCATCAGTCAGTGTTCATTTCTGTCTCACAAACTTCACTGAGTGAGTGTCACCCATTCATTTTGCATTAAAGTGTGGGATTTGCATAAAAACCTCCAGCTCATGTGGCTCCCTGGTGTGGGCACTTTGCCTTTCCCAGCCTGGACTTGCTACAGTCTTGATCTCCTGAAACTGCAGAGATCTGCCTGGCAGCAGGTGTGAAACCAGGGCAATGGTAATAATATAAAATATTAACAATAATAATTGTATTGAATAGCCAGAGAGGAAGATTAGTGGAATGTCCATTGCAATAATTCCACAATATTCCCAAGTAACATTTCTGTGTGAATAATTATATACAAAGTGAGAACTCAACTTTAGGCTGGATGTTACAGCCTACACAAAATGCACTGAAAAACAGCCCCAAATCTGATTCACGGTTGGGGTAATTGTCTTATGGGGCACCTTGGAGGTGAGCTCTGAGGAGGGAAGGCAGGAATGTATGTGGTGGGCACCAGGCAGGTTCTGACAAAACAATCAGTAGGGCAGCAAGATAAAATGGCAAGAAGCCCCAAACTAGGGATCTCTCAACAAAGCTTACAACAATTAAAATCAAATTAAGAGTCTAAATAAATATGGATGGTTCAATTACTTGTAAAATGTTTTAGCTCCAACAGCCCTGTAAACCTGGACCCACTGAATGCTTCAACATTGGCTGCAAGCGTTTTAACTGGAACTTGCTGGCACAGATGAGGTAAGAAATATATTTGTTTTCTGACTAAATTTAAAGATTCTAAAGGATATTTTATGTGCCTCACTCGAGGGATGAAGAATATTGTGATGTGTATTTCAAATGAGCCATTGCAAATCTCATCTATTATTTTCCCGAAATCCCATTCCATTTAAGCTGTCACAGCTTGGGGCCCGCTTGTGCTCTTGGCGGAAACCCCCGACGCATCATTAAAAAATCCTACCCCCACCTTTTTTATTGTTCCAAAATTCAAACACAAAGGAAAATAATAGTCCCAGATGAGAAGACAAACAAGTTTAAGAAATGCAGAGAAGACGGGGCAATATCCTCTGTTACTCCCGGCGGGGGAAGCAGCGGGACACCGTGGTCGAGATTTGCTGGATGCCGGCGGCAATGGCGATTTACAGCTCCCGTCCCAAAGCCCGTGAACGTGCCCCAGCGCCCACGGCCGTGCCCAGGCTTCCCCCGGCCGGCTCCGGCAGTGGGGCTGTGCCCCTCACACCCATGTGCTCCCTCCCAGTGCCCCCCGTCTGCCCCGTCCCAGCGCCAGCTCTGCCCCAGTTCGTGCCTATCCCAGTGCCCGTCCTGTCCCAGCGCCAGCCCTATCCCAGTTCATTCCCATCCCACGCTTCCACGTCCCGGTACCACCCCATTCCAGTGCCATCCCTACTCCAGTGCATCTCCACCCCACTGCCAGCTCTGTCCTAGGTCCTCCCCGTGCCCCATAGGGGGTCGGGGCCCGGCGGCGCCGCCGCCATCTTGGGGGGGTGGGGGACCGGGAGCGCAAATGGCGGCGCCGGGCCGGGGCTGCCGGGCCCCGCGGGGCGGAAAGTGTGTTTAAACCCCCGAAAGGGGCAAAGCTACCGCAAACCCGCCGATGGACGCCGGCAGAACGCGGGCTTGAGTTCTTTGCACGGTCGTGAAGTATTTACACTTTCTGAGGTGGTGGTTGCCCGATTTTGACCCAAGAAGTTGAGGAGAAAGTCGAGGTTATCCCGCCTGGGCGCCGCTCCGGTGAAACTCCTCGGGACTGTGACCACTCTAAAATACTAACAAACATATAAATCCAGTGCAGTAGAAACCGTTCTTGGAGACCTCCCGAAAACCAGAAAGATTTAAGTTTGAAAACAGATTTTACCTGACGGAAAAAGCAAAAAACCATCAAACTTTCTGGCAGCAAATTCAGAGTGCAGAACTAATGGAATGGGGGTTTTGGGAGGGGAAGACCGCGCCGAATAAATAGACGGATAAATATAATGATTCAAAAGTATCGATCGGCTGCGGGTAGGGGTCGGTGTGGGACAGTCTGAGTGATGTTTGGTGTCAGGAGAAAGGGATTAGAACAGTTTTATGGGCTCCTGGTGCCGCAAGGAATCGGATTAGATTTATACTATGAAAACATTTAATTTATTCAATTACTGCCCAGATAAATTTAAAAAAATAGCCTGTAACTGGGATTAAGGGATAAAGAGCTCTGATATTTTGTGCCAAGTTGTAACAGACCTTTCTGGTCTCTGTTTTATTATATAGTAAAACAGAAGTAAAAAGGAGGGAAAAAAGGGACTTGATGCTTCAAACTTTCCTTCCCTACACAGCAATTAAGAGCAGTCTGACGTGGTCTAATCAGCATTTTGCTCCCTCAGTTTATGATCTATAATCTACTCAGATTATACCTTGTTGAGGATGGGAACAGTCTTTTCCGAATGAGTATTCCTGCTTGGCCATGGGAGATATGTAATAATGATTAATAGGAGTCCCCAGGGTAGTCTGCTGGATTGCAGTCCTACAAAGTAATTACAGATGCAATTAAAACAGAGGATGTTTTTGGCCTCTGTGCACTGGTTTTGCCCTAAAATTGATTGCACCTTATACTGCAAGTAATCCCATTAAAGTTGAACGTGTGTGAAATGAATTGTAATTCCTGGCGAGTGCTGGGGTGGAATCAGAGCCCAGTCTGAGCTGCTGAGGACAGCTGGGTACAACTGCTGGGCAGTTGTGCAGGGCCAGCTCCATTTGTCTTGGCCAGAGGTGATTTGTTCTGTCTTCAGGGTTTCATTGCCATGATGAGCAAATTGCAGGAGGGTGAGTGGGTACACAGCCAGATGTACTCCACAGACCATTGCAGCCCCACTGACTCCCCAGGACCCAGGGTGTGTTTTGTTTGCATCAGCCATGCTTTGTCAGCAATTTTATCACCAGTTTTTTTATTTACTGAAATTTTAAGGCTTCACACTGATTTTTAAAAGTAGCATTGTGAATTTATTTAAAGCAGTGTCTGCAGTCTTGCTTTAAATGCGCTTAAAATTGTGTGGGTTTATCTGCAGGAGAAGAACTGGCTAGCCCTTATCTCACTTGTATCTTCATGCAAAGTGTTTAGTGCAGATACCTCTGGGTATGACAATACATTCCAATGGTGTTGAGGGTGAAGCTTCAGTGTAACCTCTTTGTCCTTTTCCATGAGTGCTGGTAGTTTTTGAGAGATGACGTGCTGCAAGCCTGACACTGGGACATGGAATCAGATTCTCTTGGGATGACAATGGAGATCATAAAATCGTGGAATACCCTGAGTTGGAAGGGACCCACAGGGATCATTGAGTCCAAGCCCTGGCACAGGACACCCCAATAATCCCACTGTGAGTGTTGTCAGACTATAAGGTGTGGAGTGTCCGTGTGCCAGTCCATGCCTCACTTCTGGGCAGGAAAGTGTTCTGGAGGCCTAAATTCCATTCTCAGAATTGCACAGTTTGAATATCAAGGAAATGTAGATAAACTGGATCAAAACCAGATTGACCCACAGCAGTGATTACTCTGGGCATTTACAGTCTCTCTGTGAAATAACAAGATGATTAATGAGTTGCATTGTCGGTTCTTCTTCCCCACACACTGTTCTCTCTGTCCCATATTTTCTGTAATTTTTAATCTATTTCAGCCTCTCCTCAAGCCCTCCAATTGTGCTGCATGGGCACAAGAGCAGGAAGAAGGAGACACAGTAGGATGAAGAATCAGATTGGAGACTTGGGGGAAAAATGACCAAGTGAGTCCTTGTTAAGGAAGTCTGGCAGCTGCACAGTCCTGCACGTGAAATCAATTACCAACCAAAGCCAACAGAGATCTGACCAAACTCTCTTTCTCCTAATTAGCATCACTCACCGTTCTCCACAGGTGAGGTGTGAGAGCAGACATGCTTTGCTGAATTTGGCAGATTATTTTCCAGAGAATGGTTTAATTTACTGGTAAAATACTTCACCCCCAAGGAAAGGGTGTTTTATTGCTAGGTTTATCATCTTTTGGCTCATCTCCTGTTTGTTTTGGTTTGTTTTTTAAATTTCTGATTGAATCCAGCAAAGTGATGGGATAAATGCATGGTAGAGCTAAGCAGACAGGTAGAGGTTGTATTCATGAATCACACAGGATTTGTTTTGACAACGCTATTTATGCTGTAGCTTTTTAACTTTTTGAAAGGCTGAGAGAATTGGGTTTGTTCAGCCTGGAGAAGAGAAGGCTTCAAGGTGACCTAATTACAGCTTTCCAGTGCCTAAAGGGAACCTACAAGAACTCTGGAGAGAGACTATTTACATGGGCCTGGAGCAACAGGGGAAACAGGGATGGCTTCACACTGACAGAGGCAGGTTTAGCTCAGATATTGGGAAGGAATTCTGTGTGAGGGTGGAGAGGTCCTGACACAGCTTAGCCAGGGTAGCTGTGGTTGCCCCTGGATCCCTGGAAGTGTCGAAGGTCAGGCTGGACAGGGCTTGGAGCCACCTGGGATAGTGGAAGCTGTCCCTGCCCATGGCAGGGGGTGAGACTAGATGGAATTTAAGGTCTCTTCCAATCCATTCTAGGATTCTGTGATTCTACTTTGGGTCATTCCTGCAGAGCATGAAGGTTTTTAAGGTGTGTAATTCCTGAGTGGCTTCAGGTGATGTTCAGAAGTGTGTTTAAGTGTTGTAGTGATTACGAGTGATTCTCAGGGACTGGGGTTAGCAGCTCTCTGGTTTCAGGCCTGGAGGAGACATTCCTGGGGCTCCCAGCTGAGCCCCATGGATGTTTGTGCATGGCTCAAGCAGCCCTCCCCAGAGCCGCTGCCCTTCCCAAGCAGGAGGAGATGAGAGTTGGGAAAGCAGCTCAGCACCAAAGACTCCTAGTGAAAGCCATAAAACTGGAAGTACACTGTTTCTGCTCCTCTCTTTCCATAAAGGTTTTGTGCCTCCTTTTGCGTCCCTCCCAGTCTGTTTGGAATAGGTCAGAATGTCCAGCATGGCACCGAGTGCCTGTAAGGACAGGAGAGAGGAGCTGCTGCCACATGGCTGTCACGGTGTCACCCAAACCTACAGAGACAGGCAGCAGGGTGGGTGTGGTGGCACAGGGGGACAGTCAGACTCGAGGAGGCAGTGCTGTCAGGTGTGTGATGCGTGTGCTGTGTGAGAGTGCTGGAATGCCAGCTGGCATAGGCAGGGAGGGGCTGGGTGTGGAACGGGCACACATTCAGCAGCCACAGCCTGTGCCAGTGCTTTTCTTCTCACTGCTGACATAGATATGTGAGTGTGTTTTTGACACAGCCGTGTCAGCAAACCAAGATGAGCAGCTCAAAGACTCCAACAGTGCTTTGGGCTTCATTCTAGGATGAGCTGCTGGTTCAGAGTAAACTCACAATTTTGCTGTCTGATCCTGTAAGCTGATTGAGGTCGCATTGCCGTGGTGCTGTTTATTTGTCTCCCAGTGCAATACCATACCATAATCCATATGTTATCATGTGCTTAGGGGAGACTTGGAAGGGCTCTGTTGTACAAGTGAGCTGGACAAACTCCTGAAAACCCAAGTACTTCATCTTGTGGTCCTGTGGCAGAACCTAGACAAAAAGTGTTTGCTTTTCCTCTGTATCAGCCAAAGCATCCTTCTCCTTTCCTAGATCCTTTTTCCACTCTAATCTTTCAAAGCAATCTTTTCCTTGATTTGTAGTTAAAATTTTTCCCTCTTAATGGGAAACAAAAATTAGTAGAAAGTGCAATGGGCAGCTTGGAATTTCTCAGTTCTGAATTTTGTCTTTTTTTCCCTTCACTGGCATAGGCAGTCTCTTCACGGCATTAAATGCTTCTTGGTGGCTACTGGCACTTTCTTTTGAGGCATTGGTACAGTTCCATTGCAGGCTCTGAAGGTTCATTTCAGTCCCTAACTGATGAGGTTCCTGGAGATGAGGCTGGGGTTCTGTTTGGTAATGCTGTTCATTCAGCCTTGCAAAATATTGCTTGCCTGAGGTGAGTAACAGGTTTTGATGGGTGAGTAAAGCATCATCTGTCTTCATCACAACCAAGTACAGGCAAGGTGGCTGTGTCTGAGCTCCTAAGTGTTCTGAGCAGTTCTGACTTCAGTTGTGCTGCAAGGAGTCACGATGGGGTTTGTGTGTTTCTGTTTAAAGTGCAGCTCTGTTCCTCACTGATGGCACAGGAGAGCCTGGCAGATGTCACATGTCAGGTGTCAGACACCGCTGCAGAGCTCCCAGGAGATGGGAGCTCTCAGAGCAAGTTTGCACTGAGTGAGAGGAGCAGCTTTGCTCAGCTCCTGCCCTGTTTCAGGGCAGAAAGGTGATTTGTAAATCAGTTATTCCCATAACAGCACAGTATCAGATGGTTCCCTTGCCAGGTGCTTGTTGAATGGGATTTTCCCTCCTGGTCCATGGAGGCTTAGCCAGAAGTGCTGTAAACTTCATGTTAATATTTGATTTACAGTCTTTGGGTTTGTTGCACCACTTCATTCCTCACCAGAGAGAGACATTGAAATCCTCATGTCATTGGAAATTATCCTGGCAGCACCTGAAATGGGATTTCTGTTGAAATGTTTCTCTTCCCATCAAGTCTGATGGTGTTTATAGAAGTAAACCCCCATCCACCCATTTAGCCTTCACACTCACTTTGAGTGAACTTTTACCCTTTTTTCTTCTTGATTTTTTGTTGTTATTTTTTTAAATTTTTCATTTCCCGACAAAGATAAGATGGATGTTAAAAGCTAAAGCTGGTTTTCTACAGTAACAATGAGGTGGTTTCCTAAGCCTGCACTGGTTCAGGGGCAGAAATGAGATCAAACCCTGAGTATTTTTGACCTCTTCCTGTGGATTCCCTGCCTAAAGATAAAGCATTGAGGTCTGGGTGGAAGCATGTTAATTAGGCTTCATTATCTCTGCCAGACTGGCAATCATTTGTCATTTCATAAATCTGAATCTACAACTTGGAACTGAATGACTCATCTCAGTTTTGCAGTATCTTCTTTTGCCTTAATGTTTCTGAGACTTAAAATGCTAAAGATGAATAGAAATCACAAACTGGGACAAACAAGGAATGTTTGGGCCTGACTATGGTTCTTCAGAATGTTTCATGTTAGTTTCTGCTCTCTTTTTAATTGCCCCATTTGCTTCCTTTTATTGGGTTGTCTTGATTTTATTGCAGATTTTACTGATAAGGGCACATTATAAGAAAAGCAATTTCTTTATTATATTTTTGTGTTTTACTGGATTTATAAAATGCAGAGATGAGAAAGACCAATTATTATCAGGACTTCTCTGGTTAAGTTCAAGATTTTTTTCTGCATTGTGATTTTTGACAAGTTTTCCTGGCCCAGTTTGAAGTAAATTCTCCAAGTTAATTACTTCTGTTCAAGTAACTTCCCAACTCCTTCTCCCAGAGGGAGCTTTGTAAATAATCTTGGCGCTTGAGCTTCTTTATTTTTTAAAGCCTGAACACAAAGAATAAAATCTAAAAAGGGATGGGCTTGCTTTTGTTGAAACTGGCAACCAAACATTTGCAACAAACAAATGTTTATAGATGTACGAGGCTACATCAAATATTAATATATTAAATACCACCCAACACAAGCTCATTTAGTCCAATTCCTGCCTCTCCCTGCAGCCGAGGGGATGTGGATGTGTTCTGTGACCTTCCACACCTGCAGTTCCAAGAAACCAGTGGAAGCTGGGGAACTCCTGCAGAGGTTGTCCCAAAGATATTTGCTATTGCCATTTTCAAACATCTGTCCTGCTTTTGGCCCAGTTAAAATAATCATAAAGAGCCGTGGTGGTGCTGGAATTGGAGCTGCAGGAATGCTGAAGTGTCCTGTGTTGGCCTGCGTCAGGTCTGTGGGTCTGCCTTTGGCTGAATTATGCTCACACTGAGCCTGGAGGTAGAAAGTTGAGCACCTGGAAGGCTTCAGGTCAGGAATGGAGTTCAGGGGCAAAGAGGGCTCTCATGAATCACAACCAAGGTCTGATGGTCACAAACCTGGGGTTCTGTGTTAGAGGAGGGAGAGTGGCTGTTGACCTTCATTTGCAAATGAAGGTATTCAGCTCTTCTGTTCCTTTGTGCTGAAAACAAATACAAAGAATAGCCTTCAAGGCTGCAAGTTCTGAGTCTTGAAGAGGAAAATATCAATTTCAAGTGAGATAAATTTGAGCTGAAGGAACTTGAGAGCTCTGAAAAATCAGGTTGTTGTACCACATCAGGCATTCAGAATCAGGCCCCCAACATTCAACCTGTGTTCATAATCTTCCTTTTCTTCCTCCTCCTCCCTTTGAGCAGTGGGGAAGGGCTATGAAGGACCTTAAGCTATGAGGAAACAATTCTGCCAGCAGATGTGAATAAACCTTCATGCTTGGGGTGTTCTGAGATCAGTGGTCTACACTCCCATAAAACATGGAATTGGTCCATTGACTCCTTTGGGTTTTTTTGCAGCGGTGCAACTTTTGCCCTGTGTTCAATCCAAGTAATTACGCTTCTGCTCCTTACCAGCAGTAACATTCCATTGCAGAAACAGCTTCACTTTTATTGATTCCTCCTAATAGCAGAGAATCAACAAAGCACCACGTTAGTTATTAGACTGAGACACCAAATAATAATGTGTTGTTTTATATTAGATGATCAAGTGTAAGAGCCCTCAGTACCTTGGTTAGTGGATCTGGTTGGAATGTTCAGCTGGAACACAATAACTGGCTGCCCAGAGAGCTGCTTTGTCCTTAAGTTGCCAAATATAATTTTTTTTTTGTTTAATCATTTTTCCTCCTCTCCCTGCTATATTCCAGTTTTTGCATGACCAAAATGCATTTTTCCTTAACGCCATTCAGGAACATCTCTGGAAGGATAGATTATTTCTGGAGAGTTTGTGTGGATTTCATATTAGGAAACCTGCTCTACCAAGCTCTGTTGTGTAAAGGACGATTCAGTCCTGATAGTAAATTCTGCATTTCCAGAACTTAGGAATGAAGGATAGAATTGTGGGATGAAACTGGAGGTTTTCTCCATGATCAGCCAGGCCTCACCCTCAGATCAGAGACTGTTAGTAAAGATGCCCGTTGTTTTTCTAATACAAATTTTTGTGTTCTGGGATTCGGGTTGGGCTTCCCCGGCTCACCTAGCCACAGGTGCACTGTGAGATTTTGGCAAGAGGCAGCCCCAGCCCCCATCTGCACTGGTTTGGGCAGAGCCAGAACTGTTCATTCGTGTGCAGGGGCATCACTGCCCTGGAGACCTCTGCTCCTGCAGTGCCATGGGCACCTTCCCAGCTCCTGGGCACAGGAACTCTGTCTGGAACAGCATGTGGAGCTTGGGGATCTCCTTCCACTGTCCTTGTGTTGTGGAACTGAGCTGTCCCATCAGCCTCTGCCCCTAGAATCTGCACCAGGATGCTGCTGCTCCTGAAGTGTTTGAGGGAGATGAACAGGATGGAATCCTGCAGGAAGCTGAGTCCACTTAGAATTATAATTTCTTCAGAATGGGACATTTCTCTTTGTGTTGAAATGAAATGATGCTCTGTCTCCTTGGGTCTGCAAAGAAGGATGTGAGCCTTCCAGAAGCAAATCCAGCATCTTTGAAGCTTTAAGAAATACAAGCTTTAGATAAAGAGAGGGAAGAACATTTGGGATGAAGCTTTGATAGGGTGCTGGAGGCAGGATCCTGGGGCCAGGAAGCACACAGGAGTAGAAGACGAGACTTCTCCATTCAACAAAGGAGCCCTGTTTCAGAGTGAAGCAAATGCTTTCAGACTGGAGTTTCAGTGAAGTGCAGATGGCTGAGAAAAGATCTCAGAATAATGAAGTGCTTGGAATAAAAGCTTTGGAGCAGAGCTTGCAAATGCAACCACCTTTGACTTGGCTCTTTCATTCTGGAGTTCAGTAGCTCCATAATGCACACAATAGGGAAGATCAAGGAATGGGTAATCTTTTCAGCTATTTACTCATCAGAAAGATGTTTTTTTAGTTTAATTTTTTTTATGCTTGGTTGCATTTACAGGTCAGGAGTAGTAAAAGATTCATAGTGACACTATTTAACACACTTTAATAATTTTATCTGGACCAGTAAAGTGTTCCTGCATGGCCTGTGTTTTAAGCTGCAAGGATGAATCTCTGAAGTCTGCCACATATCATGTCTTTTCCAAAGCTGCCCTCTGTGTGTCTGGATGGGTTTTCTGGTTCTGCATCTGGATTTTCTGTGATGTCCTTGGCAGGACAGGCTGAGTGTGTGAGGGGCTGTGCTGGAGCAGGGGTGAGTGTCAGACCCCTCCCTCCTTCCCAGCTCTCCCTCCTCCCCTTATAGCACAGGGTGTTGGGAATAGGGGTTATGGTCAGTTCATCACAAGGTTGTTTCTGTTGCTGCTCAGGGAGAGGAGTCAGAGTCCTTCCCTGTTCCAGCAGGGAATTCCTCTCATGGGAGACAGTTTTTCATGAACTTCTCAAAGTGAGTCCATCCCATGGGCAACAGTTCTCCACAGACTGCTGCAATGTGGGTCATTCTTCCCTGGGGTCAGCTCTTCAGGCTGTTCAGCATCACTTTGTAAATTACCAGTTTCCTTTGATTAAATTACTGTTTCAGCAGAGCTCCCTCTCAATAGTATCAAGGAGTCATGAACGTTGGAAAAGACCTTTAAGATCATCAAGTCAACGAAGATGTGCCTGAGAGTACTATTGGAGACCAGTGCTCCAAAATAAAAACATTACAAATAAAAGGGGGTTTTCTTTGCCTAGGTGGTGTGGCAGCACACTATTGATGGTTACTTCCCTCACAATGGGATATGAGTGTCAGTTAATGAAAGTTTGTAAAGGACTTTGACAGAACTCATTGTCTGAAAGGTCTTTTAACATTTTAATTTGATACTTGTCTTTTTCTTTACTTCTGCAGTGCCAAGACAAGCTGTGCCCTGCTCTGATTCCCAAACCCGTGAGCAAATGGATTGCTTTGAGAATGGAAAGATTTGTAATCGAACAGACTCCCAGCAGCACAGGGAGAGGTACAGAAATCCCAGATTTTCCCCATTTTTTGTTTGAAAACATTTAAGGGGAGCATGGTGTTGCTGTGAGTAGAATGAACCTGTCAGACCAAGTGTTACAGTTCTATATCCAGGAAATCCTGCAGACACCTTTCATTTCTTCATGTCCTCAGCCCAGGCCTCCTCATTCCAAGATGTTCAGAGATACTGGAAACAGTGCAGGAATAATGTTTTAATTTTATATTGTTTTTAATTTTGGATGTTTAATGATATCAAAGACATTACAGATGATTGCAGAAATGGGAAATAATGGAAATCTTACTACCAGCAGTGGCTGTCAGGTGGCTGAGGCTGGCAGACCTGTCAGACGTCTCCGGAGGAAGAGAAGATTGCCTCTGGATTCGGAGGATGAGGAGGAAAATGCCTATGAGGATGAGGTAAATGAGGCTGCATGTACTTCCTTTAAGGAGAGCTGTGAAAAGCAGGGGCAGTTGTTTCAGAGTTCCTTGTGCAGTGACAACTGGGCTGAGGGAGCTTGTTCTGTACCCAGGGAATGGTCTGGGTCTGATCCCGTTTTACATCAGTGATGGGAATATCTGTTCTGAGGAGTCACAGGGGTGAAGGAATAGCTCTGGTGAAGTGAAAGTCAGGAGTTCACAGTAATGACACCACATGTCTCCAGAATAGCTATACTCAAATACTGTTGTGTAGTTCAGTGTCAAACCACAGGGTTTGTTTGGGTTTTGTTACATACTTACATGTACTCTCACTGCACCACCAGAAACCTGTATTAGTGGTGCATAAACAGCAGTACCTCTGTCCTGATCTGATCTTTCCTTCAGTTTCCTGCAGCCCCTAACTCCCTCCTGGGGCCCTGTGCTCTGCTCCTGCCCCTCAGTGGCTCTCTGAGCCATTTTATGTTTATTCACATAATGCAGGATACTGTGTGGCAGAACAGGGGCAATAAAGCTGCAGCCTTTGCTGTCATGGGCAGTTTAACTCATTGTCTTGCTCAGCTTTTCTCTGGGATGTGGGTGAGATGTTTTAAGGGATGGATATTTTCAGAAGTCCTTGCAGTCTGTCTCTTCCCCCTTCTCCTCGTTCTCATTAGAAACTGGACCCCTGTCCCTTCTGGGGAGTATTTGGCAGGCAGCTTTGGATGCACATTTTGCCTGGTTTTGGTTTGCTCTGAGAAATGACAGCCTGGGAGGAAGCAAGCCCGAGTTTGCAAACACACAGAAGGAACTGGAATGATGGTGGGGCATGGAGTGTGACACAGAGAGACCACATTGTCTGGGGTGTTCATCTGTGACAGGAGTTACTTGAAGCTTCTGCTTCCTTCAGGGCTTCATCACTTCCTTTTTCCCCCCTGTATCCATTCCCTTGCATAGATGGATGTAAGAAAGGGAAAGGAAAAAGGAGTGTTCCAGTAAGGCTGCTGATGTGAGCAGCAAATTCTGCATTGCAGAGAGCAAATCCTCTGTATTGTAATGGAGATTTTGGTCCTGTGCTGCTCTTTAACAGCCACATTTAAATGAACTTCAGTAGCATATATTAAATAACTTGTAAAGCACTTTGGGATACCAAGATCAGCATTATCTGTGTAACATTCCCTCCTGATGTTCTTTCAGGGTTGTTCAAGAGACAGCAATGCTGGCTAGTAGTCCTTTTAGTTACCTGTTACATCCGTGTTGTACCTGCATTGTGAGATGATCAGAGGGAGGGAAAAACAATCTTGCTAAACTTCTTTTTAACATATCTGTGTCTAGGAGAAGAATAAATCAAATAATATGAAAAGCCGCAGAAACACTAAACCAATAAAACAAGGTGAGCTAAGCTCATAGTCTCTTTTCTTTAATGTTTATAGATTTGTTTTTAGTAGCTATTATAAACTGAATAATAATAAACAGAAGAATAAAGTACAGGAGAGCTCATTTCACATTCAGAACAGCTTATTAGGTACATAACCCTTTTACCACTGTCAGCTTCGAAGGTGTATTAGCAGGAATATCCTGGATTTGCCTGCATGATGGACACAGGGTAAGGATCTGGAAGGAGTCAGCTTCATCCAGAGCTCTCTGAAGACAATAAGAATCTTTTTTTCATTGACTTTGGAGAGCTTTAGCCACAGCCTACAGTGCTAAGTAGAAAACAAATTGTAAACAACATGATTGATTGTAGACTGTGAGTTAAATGTATTCCATACCTTAAATCAGTCAGTATGTAACGGGGGGGGAGTTTTAATATACATTTAGATTGTAATTTTCTTTGTGTATGACTGTGGTTCTACTAGAATGAATCCAAGTTGTCATCATGTGAGAGCTGCCTCTCTAGTAGATGCATTGTGTTATTAAGAGGTTAGTAACACACATATATGTGTGTATATAAAAATATTTGTGAATTTAACAAAAAAATCACTTATTTTATTTTAGGCTTATTTTAGCTGCAATTATATACCTCTCTTTGCTGCCTGTTAGTTTGTATTTAACCCCTTATTCCTCTGTGAAATGTCAGGAGGAGGAATTAATTCCCACAATTTTAAGTTTTTCTGTCTTGTCCGGACTTTCCCTTGGCACTTTTCCATAGGCAGCTTGCCAGCAGTCCAGATGCCACAGTTCATTTGACCTGTGATACAGTAAATTTTCATTTCCTGGGGAATGAGCATGGTTTTCCTATTGCTGAAATTTCCAAAAGCAAGCAAAAGCAAAGAAGGAAAGCAAAACCTTTCCTCTGAAGTTAAGTAACACTGCCTCTTCTGGGGTGCCACAGCAAACATGGGAGGAGAAGGAGAAAAGAGGAGCAGAAGCAGAGCAGGAGGCATCAGAGAGAGGCATTCATTTTCTTGTTGTTTTTGATTAATTAGTGCTTCCTGGAAAGAAGAAGGTATGGAACTGGTCTTCCTACCTGGAAGAGGAACAGATGCCAGCTGCTCCCCAAAAGCTGTTCAGAGAGGTTGGCAGGTTTTTTTCACTCTCTTGCTGTTTTTCTTGGGCAACATCACAGGATTACCAGCTCGGTGGAGGTGGGACTGAACACCACCCTTAAGCTAGCACTTGTATTTCTGAGTTGCTTGGTACAAGTAGGCCAGGGAAACAGGCATTTGCCCTGGGCGTCTCATCCCAAACCAGGGTGTAAAAAATGCTGGTTGAATCTCACTAATAAGCAGCAGCTGTTTGGATCTGATCTGCTCTGCTCTGGACCAGTTAGGCACCTTCCGAGGATGGCTGGAGAGGGACAGCCTGCTGTCTGTCACATATCCTGTGGGATTGTACAGAGCCCTCCCAGCCTGTCCCTGTGGGAAGCCACGGGTCTGCTGGCTCAGGGGATGGTGTGGGCACGGTGGGGAGTGCCAGGAGGGAGGGTGGGCTTGTGTCAGTCACAAGGCAGTGCCAGAGGCTGGGTTCAGCCTTGCTGAAGCTGCCTCTGCACCTCAGTTAAATGTGCAGCTCCAGTGAGCTCTTCAGAGCCCAGGGCTGTTGGTCCTTCCAGAAGAATCTTTAAAGGAAGGTCCAGTCCTGCACTGGATCATTTGCAATCCCAGCTCAGGGTGCTTTTAAACTTTTACTGTATTTCAACTGTTTGACTTGGATTCAGGCTACAGATGAATGAAAGACACAAATGTTTTCTGGAATAACTGTAAAACTAGGGTGCAGACCAAGCCTGCCTTGTCCCTTTCACCATTTGAAGATGACCAGTTACCTTTTGGTGAGAGTCTGCACTGACACAAAGTGATTGATTGTAGCTTTCCCTGGTCTTTGGTTCTGCATTGAGCTGGGAAGGGGATTCTTTTGTGTTTGAGAAGAGCTCATTTCTGCATCTGCTCAAAGATGTGTTTGTAGCTAATTGCAACAGTGCAGTGGTTTTAAGAGATTATTTAGAATAACGAGTAAATGTGAAATATGGTGATGGTGCCATTACTGATCCTTGAGCCTGTACCTGTTTGTTGGAGCACCATCACTTGGGGTGGGATTTTCTTCTCTGAGTTGAGCATTTGAAGCCTGAAATATAAAAATTGAAGCCTTAAGTATGTTATGACTGCTCTGCAATAGATTTTGTCTTTAGGAATTAAAAACAAATGTTTCTTCCCCTTCACAGTATCAGTCATTCCCACAAGGCCGAAATGGATTTAAAGTTGGAATGAAATTGGAAGGAGTGGATCCTGAGCACCCCTCCTGCTTCTGTGTTCTCACAGTTGCTGAGGTAGTTGCTTTTCTTGTTTTTGATTCCAAAAGTCCCATGTACATCTATATTTTTTTTCCAATAAAAACTAGAAACATTAGAGTAAGAGTAGTTAGTTAATTAATGGTAGGAGTTCAAGGTGATACTGAAGGAAAGGTGTTATGTAATTAAGGATCTTTGCCTGAAATCCTACTGGCATATTTTTGCATTTGTAACTAAGAATAGCAAACCTGTTAATTGCCTGTAGTGAACAGATATGAAAAAGAACAATGCCATGAGGTCCTAAGACTTAGTAAATAGAAACAAGTCAGAATGCTTTTATGCAGCTTCAGTTATGTGAAATCTGGGTTGATCTGGTATAGACATTTAAGTTCTGTGGCTGCTTTTGTACTCCAGAAATGTGTTCATGGCATGGGGCAGGGGCTCAGGGAGGTTCCCTGACCAGTTCTATTTCTAGCTGTTTGAAGTAGGGAAAGAGGAGCATGGAAACTGGGAGAGCAAATTAGTTAAAATACAACTAGAGTTTCTGAGAAATAAATGTGATCCTAAGTTACTTTCTCTGTAAGTGCAAATATGAGGGAGTGTTTTATTAGTGATTATTTTTCTCCTTTGTGACCCTTGGTGATAATCAGAGCTTCTCTCACTGTAGGTCCAGGGCTACAGGATGCGGCTGCACTTTGATGGTTACCCAGAGTGCTACGACTTCTGGGCTAATGCTGATTCCTCAGACATCCACCCTGTGGGCTGGTGTGAAAAAACAAGCCATAAGCTGCTCCCCCCTAAAGGTATGACAGAAAATAGAGCAGTGTACCAGAAACCATCAATTCTACTAAGATATCCTGTCTCTGCATATTTCATTTTTTGTGTGATTTCGTCATGGAACTCAATCTGAGGGGCTAAAGGGAAGAGGTTTAAGTAACACAGTGACTCACAAAAGAGCAAAATATCTTCTCTGTGATATTCCCAAAGACTGACATTATTAGTTACAGTAGAAACTCTGGATTGAATGTCTCTCTGTGCTTCAGAACTTGCTTCTTTTCTGCGTTCAGTTCTTTCCTGCATTCAATTTCCTAGAAACATTTGAAGGTTGAGATTAATGATTGGACATTATGGTGAAAAAGAGAGAGCTGGTTTAGTTGAAATGCCCAGCCCCTGGAGATCATAGCAGGGCAGTTATCATGCAGAGTTCATATCCTTTACAGGTAATTTCCATTTCTGAAAAACCCACCAGAATGTACCAGGGCCATGTAAAACAATCTTTTTTTCTCTCTTCCTAGGTTTCAAGGAAGGAGAATTTAATTGGACTACTTATCTGAAGAACTGCAAAGCTCAAGCAGCTCCAAAAAGCCTTTTTAAGACCCTCAGCAGTGTAAGTGGTGATATGGAATAGAGGGTTTTCAATAGGTCTGGTGCTAAGTGAGTTTTGACCAGAATATGTATGTGGTTTTAATATGCTTATGTCAGAGGTGCAACCATAGTACAATCAGATGCAACTTCCTGCTGTGTTTTATTTTTAAGAAGGAAAACTCATACAATTTTTCTTTCTTTCCCCAGTCACTGACTTCTCAGAGAAAGAATTTGTATTTCCCTTCCTCCTTAATGCTGGAGGAAGAGATTTACTGAACCATTTATTAAATATATTACAGCCGTCTGTTTTACTGTGCCCCTACAGTCAAGATATTTGTGTCACTTTCATCTAGTTTAATCATTTCCAAAATAATTTCTGGATTCCAGCAGCATGCTCATGTGTGCCGTGGGATTCATTATGGAGCTGTGGATCTTGAGCATTTGTCATCCTTCCCCACTGGTGCTCTCTCAGTGGCTGTTAACCTCAGTTCCTGTGAAATCCTCCATCCCATTCCATGTTACTGGGATGACGTGAAGCCCTTGGGCTGCTGGATTTGAGGCTGCACAAGGACAGTCACTGACTCCAGGAGGATCAGGGTTCAGCTCTGCCCTACTTCCCACTCAGTCACTTCATCTCCTTGAAGACTCTCCTAACTTTTCCACCAGTAAAAGAGGATGTGCAATACCCATTATCCTCAGCAAATCACTGCAGGGTGTCTCAGTCTGGGAGGCTGCAGTGGTCAGTGTACCTGGAAATGCTGTTTTTTTGAGCCACATTAGCTGTTTTTAGTAATAGTCATTGCCAGGACTCATGGAAAATCGTGTCTGCAAACCTCTTGATAGGCACTGTAGTGTGTTTTGGTCCATGGGTTTTGGGATCAAAGGAGTTTATAAGGGGGATTTCAATGGCTTGATCAAGAATGTGGCTGATGGCTCTTTCCTGGTGTCCTGTTCCTCAGCCTGTCACACCTTCTGGGTTTCGTCTGGGAATGAAACTGGAGGCAGTGGACAAGAAGAACCCGTCACTGGTTTGTGTGGCCACCATCACAGACATGGTGGAAAACCGGCTGCTGATCCATTTTGATAACTGGGATGAGAGCTACGACTACTGGTAAAAGACTCTGTCTCTTATACATGTCTAAAGCTAGACTGGCTTTCTGTTAAATGCAGGCCCTAAAGTTGGGATCTTATATCAGTTTTCAGGCATCTGAATAATTACTTGGGGTTTTCACAAAGTTGCCCGGTAGTTCCCTTCGTGTTTGGGTGCTGGGCAGGTCAGTGCAGAGCCAGTGGGGGTTGCCTGAGCTGATTGGGAAGCATTGGAAGTAAGAAAACTTGCGGTGCCTGAAGGGGCTCCAGGAGAGCTGGAGATGGTCTTTGGACAATGGACGGAAGGACAGGACAAGGGGAATGGCTTCCCACTGCTGGAGGGCAGAGTTAGATGGGATATTGGGAAGGAATTGTTCCCTGGGAGGGTGGGCAGGGCCTGGCACAGGGTGCCCAGAGCAGCTGTGGCTGCCCCTGGATCCCTGGCAGTGTCCAAGGCCAGGCTGGACAGGGCTTGGAGCACCTGGGGACAGTGTGAGGTGTCCCTGCCATGGCAGGGGTGGAAGGGGATGGGCTTTAAGGTCCCTTCCATCCCAAACCATTGCAAGATTTACTTTGTATTTCCCTTACTTTTGGGACAGCTTGAATGCCTTGAAAACCCAGTGTTACACATTCTAACAAGGCAGTGCTTGTCTTCTACACCGTGATCACACCCACTGAAAGCATCTGCTCACCCAGCAAAGGCCTATCAGACAGCATTTGAAATCCTGCCTTTCTTTTTGCTTTCCATCTGACTGGTGCCAAGTTTCCCTCTTTGATTCAGGTGTGAAACAAGCAGCCCATATATCCATCCTGTCGGCTACTGCCAAGAAACTGGAACCCCACTGACAACACCACCTGGTAGGTTGCAAGTGAGACTTACTTCCTGCCTTAGCCAAAAAACCTGCAAACTGTATCTTCCACATAATGACATACTTGCAGGTTCCATGTTCGCTTCAGAACTCTTTACTGCCTGAGCAGTATTGTTGTCCCTGCTTTTTGCCACTGCAATTTATGTTGCTTCACAGTTCATTGAAGAAATCCCTCTCAGTTTGAAGAGACAGGTGTCTGTTAAGGAGGGCAGGAGCCTCTCTTGAAATGGAAAATGTAAACCACCCCCCTCCAAATTATTACAATTTTGAAATTAAGGGACTCTCAGGCAAAGATATGGGAATAAGAATAGCAGTTCTTTATTAGGGGGAAAAATAAAAATTAAAAGAAAATATAAAAATAAAAAACCCAGACACATCTTGCAAGCTAGGACAAAATGGAACAGGGTTTGGTAATATATAATTGCATTTGATTTTAGAAGGGAGAAAGGGAGAAGGATTTCCAGCATTTCCTTCAAGGTGAGCTGGGAGAAAAAGGGATCTGTACCTTGATTTCCTAGATGGAATTTCTGGAAATCACAGAATACTCTGGGTTGGAAGGACCCACAAGAATCATTGAGTCCAACCCTTAAATGAACGGCCTATACAGGAATTGAACTACAGCCTTGGCATTGTTAGCACCATGCTCTAATGATTTCCTAGATGGAATTTCTGGAAATGAAGGAGTAACTGAATCCACATCTCCTTCTGCTGTACTGGAATTTGGTAAATGAAGAGAATGTTGGCAAATAAGGGAGGACAGAATGTACAGGGAAACCAGTGTTGTTTTCAGGCCTTGGAAGTGCACACTCACCTTAAAAATAGCGAACATAAAAAAAATAAGCCTGACATTTGTCAGACTGACAGCCCTGGAGCAAGAATTCCTGTAGTTGCTGTGTTCCAGGTTCAGTGGAGCAGGAAGCACTGCCCGATCCCTCTTCATGGGGGGAATTGGCCTCAGTGTCTTCACTGTAGATGTAGAAGGGGTCATGAACATTCCCTCTCAGCAGCACCACATCTGTTCCTGCTCCTGGAAGGTTCAGCAGGGCTGGACTCTGCAGTTCTCTGCTCATATCAGGATTTCCTGTGCCCCCACAACACCTGCAGCCAGTTCTGGTCTCCCTGATGAAGGATTTAAATGCAGCAGTTTGCAGACTGTGCTCTGCATTTAGTCACTGCACCCTCCTGCCACAAGGAACCTGCCCTGGGGGTGAACATTACTGAAATAGGAAAAACCTAGAGCAGTTTCTTAAATGCAATTGCCAGGGAGACATCTCACTGTTGTTACAGCAGCACACCCATGGAGCCTTTTCTTTTCTCTCCAGGCTGCTGGGTTTACTCAGCCTGGGTGAGCAGGCAGCAGGAGAGGAGAAGGTTCTACAGTCTTACAGGTGCTCACACATAGAGCAGTTAATAAAACAGGAAATTAATGCAGTGATGCCATTACACATCACAGAATCATCTGACTAACTCACAATTGGAGTTTTCTTTAGAGAATAAGAATTGATTAAGCTGTGCAGAAGTGAACTCACCAGGGTTCAAGCCCAGTGTAAAACTGGGGAACTAGCAGAGCTGCTCTGGGTGCTGGAGGTGGTGGGTAGGGGCAAACAGGCCACTTTCCAGCACCATCCATTGCAAGTGCTCATTACAGTGTCACAGAGCTGCCCTTTTGCTGTCTGTAACAGTAAATGTGGGGTTTTTCTGACAGAAGTGTTTATTCTCTGTTTTTTCAGGACACAGGGATTCCAAAGCCTTCTCATGGGAGAAATACTTGGAAGAAACTAATTCCCAAGCAGCCCCAGCAAGAGCCTTTAAACTGGTAGGTGAATGTCTTTGATTGCTCTTGCTCAGGTGCTGTTATCCATCCTTTTTTGCTAGAGGCTTTGTTTGAGCATGGTTCACCTTGTCTGTGTGAGGAAGGTGAAACTGTGGTTTACTTTGAGTTTAAGATCATCTCAGTGCTGCTAAAACAAAAACACACAGCAAAATACAAGATTTTTTTGTTTTTTAATATTATGGAAGGCTGGCTTGGAAAGGATTTTTGACTAAGTATCTTCAGTGGCTCCATTAGCAGATTTAAGGGCAGAGCCTTCAGTCCAGAAGCTTCCAGAGGTATGTGGGAAGTGCCTGACAGAGGGCACAGAGAGGAGAAAGAGTGCAGTTATCTGGTGTCCCCTCTACATGAAGTTTTAAAAACCTTTCTGAAATTCACCTTGCAGTTGTGCAGATCTGTACTTCCCTGGCTGGTGAGGCTGGAATTAAGGTAGAGAAGTTCATATCAAGGATTTACATGTGCTGATACAGATCATAGTCCTTCTGGGGAGGAGCCAGCTGTGCACTCCACAGAAATAAATGTATTAACAGATGAAAGAGCATTTCTACTAAACCCCTAAGACCATCCTGCAGACTCAGTATGAAGGTGCTTCTCTCAGCCTTGAGATAGTGAGCTTCTGTTTATTTCATTGCAGTTCAGTGTGTTTATCTGGAATCTCACTGTGAGCAGAAACAAGCCAAAAGCCTCTAAAATGACTGTACTTTTAATTTGATTTTTTCCATTCCACGCTGCTGGCTCACCTTGCTAAACTTCGCAATATGTTTAAAAACTCTCCTTTGCCATCATGACACTTGCCTGGCTTCCTTTTTGTGAAGTGGGATTGCAGGTTAATACCTGCTGCCCTCCTGTGTATTTTTCTGGAAAGGTCTTTGGGACTGAGGAGGAAAAGCAATCAGGGAGGCCTCAGGTAAGACTGGCAGAAATCTGGCCAGACAGATTTGATAATTGCCAGACTTCAGCGGGTGTCCACATGAGGTTGGTGCAGGCTGCAAAGTGGTGTCAGGGAGGTGGAAGAAATTTTTGCCTCTTCAGAGAACTGTAGGGCTTTAACTGGAGTTATCTGCAGCACATCCAAAACATCCCTGGGACTGAGGTTTCCCGTAGCTGGGAAGCACCTTGGAGCCAGGGCCAGGCAGGATGGGGGGTGGAGCCTGTCAGTGGGACACAGCTGTTGCCCCAAGGGTGGACTAAGCTCTTTTGAAATCACAATAGAGCTCGAAAATGTGAAATTAAAACTCCCAGCCCAAGTCCTCTATAAGATTTGCCATTGTGGCTTCTTCCCTGGGATTTTCAGGGTATAAAGTGTGGTGAGAGATGTCACCTGAACATAAGAGGGCTTTGCTCAGGACAGGGAGCCTGTTCAGTACTGAGAACTCCCTTCTTTGTGGTCTTCCAAAGTGAAGTGTCTTCACGAGGGGGATGGAGCTGCCTCGTCTGCCTTCTTTCCTGTTTTCCAGACATTTCTGCAGCCATTGTTCTGCTCCTTCAGGTATCAGGCTTTGAGAGAAGAGTAGAAAGACCAATTCTGGCCCTCATGAAACTCCAGAGTGCAAATTAGCATCTAAAACTGTGTTTCAAAAATGAGACAGAAAAGAAAAGGTATTTGATATATCAGCAGTTAATAGGACTCTTTCAAGATCAAACCTCTTTTTTTTTTTTGGCTTGGTTGGACTGAAGTGCAAATAAATGGGAAAGTATTGATTTTTTAAAAATAATTATTATTATTTCAGCTAGCAATTACAGGAAATCAGTATATAAAAATGCGGGTTGAGAGCCAGAACAGGCATTTCTCACTGAATTAGCTTTTAACAATTTTAAAGAGCTGTCTTATGTAGTCTGGAGACATGGGTCATCAGCACAAATAGCAGGTCCTGGGTCTGGATTTCTGCCCTCTCTACCCAAAAACTCAGGAGACAGCTCCAATGTAAGCATTGTTATTTCAGCCCATCCTCTTGGGCTGGCAAATCCAAAACATTCATAAGCTATTGCCAAAAGAGCAGCAAGGCTTAAGCAAAGAGTCTGGCTCCTCTTCTGGGCAGGGTTTGGACCTTGAGCACTCAGCTCCTTCTTCAGGGAGGACAGACAAGGTTGGCTGGTTCAATAAGGTGTTCTTGAAAATAAAAGCAGTTTAGATTGTCTGTTTTGTGGTGTGTCCAGTGTCTGACAGCCCATTGATAGATGTCTGTGTCCAGGTGAAATGGCCAAAGAGGAACTTCAGGTGTGGAGTTAAACCCCTTAGCTCAAGAGTGCATCTCCTTCCTGCCCCCAGCCACTGGCAATAACAAGGGTAAGGAAGAGTGGGAGGGAAGAGTGATTTTAATAATTTCATTAACCTGGTCATGTTCAAATAGACAATTTATAATTTCTTGCTAAAACCCTCACCTCTGTGTGCAGAAGTGAAGAGGGACATGTTTTGAATGACCATCCATAACCCCCTGCTGAGGAGGTCAGAGGAGGAATTTGTAGTCAGATAAATGGAAAAATTGGTAAAAACTGTTGCTTAGAGGTTACACAGTGTGCTGAAAAGGGCACACATCAGGTCAAAGGACATTCTGGAGTTTCCCCAAAATCTTCAGGGTTTGAGGAAAAGGGTGAGTGAACCTCTGCAGGGGAGGCTCTGGGGCCAGAGCTGCTGTGAGCCCCAGCACAGCAGCTCCCAGCAGCTGTTCATGGGCAGCACAGGTGTTGTCATAAGGAGTGATCTGTGTAATGAGGGTAACTCTGACAGCCAGGAGCTGTAGCTGATGCCAGGGTGGATGTAGGGTAGTGAAGAGAGGCTTCACCCAATGGCATGTTCAGATGTGAAAAGTGGGGAACTGGCTATTGTCCTAGCTGGTGTGACATCACAGAATAGTCAGGTTGGAAGAGAGGCTGGAGATCATCCATTCCAACCCCCCTGCCATGGCAGAGTCACCTGGAGCAGGTGACACAGGTGGGTTTGGAATTCTGCATCCAGGTGGGTTTGGAATGTCACCAGAGAGGGAGACTCCACACCCTCCCTGGCCAGCTTTTCCAGTGCTCTGCTACCCTTCTGGAAAGTTCTTCCTCATCTTGAGGTTTTAGTGTTTTATTTCAGGGCCATTGCTCCTTTTCCTGTCACTGGGCCCTCCTGGAGAGTTTGGCACCATCCTCTGACACTTGCCCTGGAGATATTCATATGGACTGTTGGGATCTCTCCCCTCTTGGTCTCCTTTTCTAGAAAAGACCACGTCCCTCCCGTGTGGCAGTGTGCTCTCAGGCTGGGGAGGCTGTGTCAGTGGAGCCGCTTGTGGTGGTCCCTGGCCTTTTGTCTGTGGGGGAAGGGTCTCTTGTTCTGGCTGGAGCAGCTCCTCTGTGCTGAGCCACCTCAGGCTGCCTCTCCAGCAGTTTGGGGCTGCTGACAAACACTCAACTAAGTCCTCTTGGAAACAGTGACTTTAACCTCTTGGAAACTCTGATTTTAGCCTCTGAACAGTCTGCCATGTGAGATAGCCCCAAACTCCAAAGGCAGCTAGGGATGGATGGAAACTGGAGCACATTTCATTCAGAGCAGGTGCTAGCTCTGAACTCCATGGCTTTTTAGCATTCTGCTTACAATCCTCTCTTCCAGCGTCCTCCTCACGGATTCCAGGTTAATACGAAGTTAGAGGCTGTGGACAGGCGAAATCCCATCTTGATAAGAGTGGCAACAATCATTGACAAAGACAACCATCGCGTTAAGGTATGACCTTGCTCCCAAGTGCAGAGCCTGTGCTGAGAGCCCTGGGATGGGCAGCGCAGGGAAAACAGTGCTTGGGAACAAGGAGCAGCAAACAACAGCCTGGCAGCTGTTGCATCCAGGCCTGCCCAGCTGGAAATGGTTCCTGTTGCTTTGTTTTGCTGAAATCTGATGGAATTGGCCTGGTGTTGGTTACTGTTCTAACGTAACTGTTTTGAACTAACACTTGACAGCGTGATGTCCCATCTCTTGGCATATTCCCTGTGGTCTCTGTGACTGATGGCAGCAGGAGTGTTCTGCTAAAGAAGCTGCCTGACTGTGTTTTTTTCCTACCAGGAAAGGAAAACCCAAAGCAATTTAGACCCTGGTACATGTGGGAAGCAGCGTCATTTTCCAGTACAAATTTGTCACATAAATGCATTTTAACCTAGTCTTTTCCTGCACATATATTCCCCAAATAATCTGTTGTGCTTTGGGCTCTGAGAAACTAAGTATGAGGCAGCTAAAGTGGAGGCTGCACTGATGGAGACTCCATGGCCACAGATCTCCTTCCCAAAGGATGATTGCATGGGCAGGAGTGGAGTTCACTCCCCATTATCTGGTTGATTCTGAGTCTCATTGCTGTGAACAAAAGCCAAGCTTTGCCAGTCTCTAGTGGCATGATACTCAATTCATACATTGAAACTTTCCTGCATGAACAACCCAGTAGCCTTTAAACTCCAGTGATCCTCAGTCTCTGTTAACCTGACCTGGATCTGAGCTACTGCCAGTCTCTTCATCCAGCAGCAAATTGCAGCTTTCACTGCAAAACTCACCAAGCTTGTTGGCTTTTATGGTGCTTTGGGATCCACAGAAAACAAAACAAGTAAGCATTTGTGTGTGCATAGCTTTGGACTTTGCATGTTAGAGCATCCCACGGGCTGTGCGGTGACAGACTGTGTCCCCAGAACCTGTGAAACACAGATGCAGGAAAACAAAGAGTTAGACTGAACACAGAGATGATTTTGCCTGACTGAAAAATTAATCTAAAAGGTAGAATTAATCAGCCCCAAGCTGAGCAAAGTGAAACAAGAGGGGAAGTTAACATAAGACCTGAGTCATGCCCTGAACTGTGTCTTTCTCTGAGACTTCTGCTTCTTTCAGATACATTTTGATGGCTGGGACCATCACTACGATTTCTGGGCGGATGCAGACAGCCCTGACATCCATCCTGTAGGCTGGTGTGACAAAACTGGACACGCTCTGCAAGTCCCTCTAGGTAAATAGATATCCCACATAACACATGTGGGATAATTTCCTAAGTGCAATCTGCTCCTCATGTGCAAATCTGTTTATCTTCCTTTTTTTACTACTCTCAGGTGCTGAAGATCCAGAGGGAGCAGTGGGACAGGCGTGTCCTACTCCGGGCTGCCAGGGGATCGGGCACGTCCGGGGCCCCCGATACGGAACACATTACACGTATGTGGATGAGTGCTGTTAATGGCAATAACAACAACAATAATAATAATGATACAGCACCAAGCAACTGCACTGCACTGAAATTATCTCGGGGTAGTTATTCTGGAGATAGCTATAACTGCAATCACAGCTCCCTCTTGTGTCTAAGCAGGCTGTTTGATCATAAATTTTGTTTATACCACTATAATCGTGATAGATGCAATGCAAACAGATTCATTCACTCCAGTTTCTACATTCCAGCAGTACTGAAGGAATTATATTTGTGAAATGATATACCCAAAACATCATGCAAGGAGACAGTTAAAGAGGAGAGGGCATGGGTAGGATGTTAAAGTGTAAGTGAGGAGAGGTTGCTCGTGTTTTGTGCTCTGCCTTTTGATTTCTTGTGTGCTCTTGGAAGAGGAAGCTTTTTCTCAAGTAAATTATTTTAAGAGCAAGAAAACAATCTCAGGTGGGAGGTCAGAAGACCTGGTAGATTATAATGTAGCAAAGGGCTTTGAATTTTTCAGACTGAAAGTTGCAGAACTCTGTTGATTCATGAAATGTTGTTCCGATAAGCAAGTTAGAGAGGATGAGCTCTTCTTGTCCTCTGCGGTGGCTCTTTAACAACATGACTCTGGGTTAATTCTGCCATATAGTCCCCTGCTTTCTCACACTTAGAACTGGGTAACAGCACCTCCTGAGTGTTTGTGGCCTCACTTTTTCTGGGTTTGTGATGGATTTCTCTTCCTGAGGGAGGGAAGACTGTATAACTGTAAAGCTTTCATTGTCTTCTCTCTTTTTTGTTTCTCCATCACAGCTTAGTTGGCTGTCCATACTCTGATGTGAACCTCAGCAGAGAAAACCTCTTACAGGACCGGCTGAGTGGGGAGAGACCGTCCCCTGGGAACATCATGCAGAAAGGCAGGAGGCTGGAGAGCCCTGGCCCATTGCTGGGAGCAGGGGAGTCTTCTCAGGGTGACTCTTCACAACCCAGGTGAGCTGGATTTTACTCTTGGCCAGGTACTGGGGAGCAAAACCATTTGCAAGGATGAAAAACACTGGAATTGGCAGCAGCACAGTGGAGCACTGAGTTCATCTGTCTGTAATATTGACGTATGCCCCAGTCACTCTTAACACAGAGCAGTGCACTTCTATACCCTCATATGCCTTAATAAGTTTCTTGATTCTTTAATCCTGGTGCTCTGAAATTGCATTCTGTTTCCATAAAATTTTCCTCGCTGTTTCAATTTGAAATATGTTCTTGTCCTTTGTTTCCTGTCCTAAAACTGTCAAGCCAAGGCTATTTTGCACTATTAAACAGTACCTGTCAGCCATCCTGGGTCGGCTGAGCACTGTGTGTGTATCATTTAGCAGCAAACAAGCTGAGCACTCTCAGATACTTTGTTTTCTCGCAAGAAAATCTTGCAGCTGAGCAGTTTTGATGGGAGCTGTGCCTTGGTTCTTGGAGTGCAGGAGTCGGTTAAACCTGTCATGGGACAGACCAGCATGTGAAGGATTTTTTAAGATCATTTTTAGTCTTCACAAATTCAGTCTCACTAGGGCAAACTCCAGCAATACTTCAATTTTTTTATTGTATGTGAAGGCTTTTCTATATTTTAAAGTTCATCTGTTTGTTTAGATTTACCACATTTTCAAGATCTATTTGTCCAGAAAAAAGGAATGAATGCTTCTTTCTCCTCCCTAGCCTTCATGGCCAAATTGCTTCCTCCCATGCTGCAACTATGCAGGCATCTTCATTCCCTAATGTCCACACTAAAATTGATTGCATTTCAATGGCACTTTTACCATAAAGCTCTTGGGAGATTTTAAATTCTCACAGAATAAGTGGCATTTTAGAATTATAATATATTTCTTTTCTTCTAAGTATTTAATTTCCTGATAGTGGGAGGTCCGAATTCAGCCTGTAAGTCTGGTATCATCTTGCTTTTTGTCCTCCCTTGGCCAACTCTGTAGCTCAGTTTATGCATCAAACTTAGTCATGGAAACTCTTGAATGTTATCCAGAGGTATCAAGATTCAGAAATCTTAAATCTCTTGCTCTCACCATAACACAGTGGTTTCCTGTAGCTGCTGGGATCAGAGCCTGAGTCCACAGAGGCTGATTTATTTCACTTAAACTCTCTCAATCCTTGCAGAAAAGGAACAGAGCACTTTGTACTTATGGAGGGAAGAGGAGAGTTCTGCCACAAGGTGGTGGTTGTTGCTCTCACTTGCCAGGAGCAGCCAGCTTTGCTCTCCTGTGGGAAAAGGGAACAGAGGATGTCAGCTCAGCTACTGTAATTTATCTGTCTTTCCAGAAAATCTGCACCAGACAGTGAAAAGTGGTGTCAAAGCAGCATCCACACTCCATCAGAGCAATCGGAAGACAGTCGGGAGAGAGGCTGGGGAGAGGAGGATTCCTCTGCAAACATCAAAGCCACACCAAAAACGTAAACAAGACTTTTGTTTCATGCATTAACAGTTGTGTTTCCTGACGCTGCTGCTGTATCTGAAACAAAGATGTAAATAACAAACAGCCCAATTTGATTGAAGTTTGGCAGCAGAGTGTTTTAGAATGACATGGTAAATCTCCTCCCTTCCTCCTGTTGTTTTGGGCCCTCTCTTTTCTGCAGTAAACTCAGATCTGAGTTCTGGCCATGAATTTAATAAAACAGCCCTGAGCTCTGAGAGATGTCAGGGATGGAGCTATTGCTTATTTTAAGAGAAAGAAGTTTTTAGTTTCTATAAATCTCATCTGTCTTTGTGTGGAGAAGAAATTACATTCATTTCTGTATCTTCTGAAATGTTTTGTAATTGTTGCTTTCAGGCTCGGGTGCTCACATGCCTATATCAAGTTTCAGCTAGTGAAACAGGAAAGCAATGGGAAAGGTTGGTTAAGTTTTATTCCTTCTTTCTGTGTGTGTGCCTATCTCTGCAATATCCCCACAGTCACGAGGATCATTCAGAAATCACAGATTTTTTTGTCTTTGATTCCACAGTCAAGAGAAAGCACATGATGGAGATGTTGGCAATTCCTTTAAAATGAGGAGAAAGGGTGAAATTACTTAGAAGTGAAAGGTTCAATACTTTGTAGAGTGGAGCCTTGTATTTATTAACTGTGGAGACAAGGGTGCACTGGTTTTTGTGCCACTGCCAGCTCCTCTGTAGTGACAAGCTCCTCTGTGTTCCTGAACACTCTGTGGCCTGTGTCAGGCTGTGACAGAGTCAGCACAGGGCTCAAGGGAGACTTGCTCAAAACCTAGCAGATAGTTTATGTTCCATCAACCCCTTTTTTTCGACCCTCATGGTTATTCAGAAGCATATTCTGAATCATTGGAGGACTTTTTAAAGTCTCTGAAGGATTAAAAGGAAAACTAAAAGCTAAATGGAAAAACAGTGTGTTTTTTTTCCTGGTATGTGACAGGTTAAGTTTTCAGAGCAGCTTTCTGCTATCACTTTAGCAAACCATATGCTTAACTTTCAGATTTACTATAAAAAGCCATTTCAGAGAACAGAGCTGACCAGGCTTTTAGGAGGATTTAAGATGGTAATAAGTCTCCAATCAAAAATAGCTAAGCAGGCACAAACTGGGACAGGTGCCTGGATGTTGTTGGTTTGGTTTTTTTTTTAATACTCATTTTTACCTAGTGCTGAGTTCTACAGTCAGAGCTGAGGGGTCTGCTAGCTCCAAGCTGCAGTTGCAGCTGGCAGGGAAAGCTGCCCACTCTCCCTTCACATTCACCTTCCAGAGAGTGATGGAAGTCAGGGGAGGGAAATGCAATCATCCAATGACCTGTAATTTCACAATTACCCAGAGCTTTTCTCCCAGCTGTGTTTAAACTATGAGATCACTGCTTCTTCATCAGAGGGAAAGTCACTTGTCTAGGTCATGGTTTGGGTGCTTAGTCCAAGGATTTGTGCTTAGTGGAGAAAAGGAATTGGTCTGAGATGGAAGCAATGCCCACCCAGCAGGAATGTGGCAGTGGGGGAGACCTTGGGCACGAGTGGGACCTCCTGGAGCAGGAGGTGGGGACAAGACCAGGTGCTGTCTGTCCCCACCACTGCAGCAGGGAAGGGCGGGGTGACAGCCCTTTCAGGAGTAGGTCCTGTGCCCTCTCTCTGCCAGGAGCTCCTGAACTGAGCAGTTCTTACTCAGGCTTTATTTATCCTCCCTTGGTTTCATTATTAGAAATTTAATGTTATTTGATGCTGTCTCATGACCATTAGGGATGTGGAGATGAGATGAGCTGAGTGGGCTCTGGGGCCCGGGGAGTGACTGTTCACTAGGAAAGGCTTTATCTCCAGAGCTGTTTCCCTTCAGCTAGGGGGCAGCTGGCAGACCCTGGGAATCTGCTTCTTTTGTATTTCTGCCGCTTTCCTTTGTGCATTCCACATAGTGACTGCTTACCCCCTGCATCTTACACCCAAGTCCAGTGAGAGCCACTCAGCAGGGGCAGCAGGGCAGCAGAGGCAGCAGGAGCAGCAGAGCATCAGGGGCAGCAGGGGGGGCAGGGGCAGCAGGGGCAGCAGAGCAGCAGGGCAGCAGGGGCAGCAGGGCAGCAGGGGCAGCAGTGCAGCAGGGGCAGCAGGGCAGCAGGGGCAGCAGGGCAGCAGGGGCAGCAGTGCAGCAGAGCAGCAGGGCAGCAGGGGCAGCAGTGCAGCAGGGGCAGCAGGGCAGCAGGGGCAGCAGAGCAGCAGTGCAGCAGGGCAGCGGCTGCTCCAGGCACACAGAGCCTTCCCGAGGGCTGGGATACAGTGGGGATGCTCGGGGGTGCCACGGGATGGCGCTGGGCAGCCTGCGGCAGGGGGGCTCGGGGGTAGCCCCCCGTGCTGCTGTAAATCAGAGGAGTGCTTCCCAGCCTGCTCCCATCCTCTGCCTGGCTTCCTGTTGTATAACCAGCACGTCCCTGTAGGACCGTGACTCTGCACTGCTCCAGTGATCTCATTAGGGAGGGGTGATTCCTTCCTCCTTTTTTTGCCTTGGTTTTCAGAGCTTCACTTGACACATGAGGAGGGAGTTGATGTCTGGAGGTACCTTGAGCACTCCTGGCCTGGGAGTTTCCTGGGGAGTGAGCCCAGGCCATGCTGGCATCACAGAGCTCTGGCTACAGCTGGGGCTGGAACGGTGCCATCAGTTCCCAGCCGAGGATGCTGTTACCAGAATTCCTCCACCTTGTCAATAAAACGCTGCAAACATCTTGTCTGTTAGCAGCATGACATCATTTTCCAGGGAAGAAGCTAACGATAAAGCCTCCCGCCTGGCAATCTTGTCTTTTTTTCCCCCTTTCTCCTGCTTGGGAGGGGGAGAAGGTCCTGAGAGCTCCGTGTGCCACACAGTAGCCGTTCCTGGCTCACCCACCCTGCCTTGCTTTCCCCTCCAGGCTGTGACCCTTCTTCCTGCTTTGTTGTAGTTGCTCCTACTTGAAGCCTGGCTCTGACTTATCTTGTTTCCTTTTTCAGGCACTGATCTGGATCTCCAGCAGGCCCTCCACCAGTCTATCTTCATGCCTTCCCTGGCCTCTAACCCGACCCACCGCCTCCATCTCTTCTGGGAGCAGCACTGCAGGCTCTTGCCAGAGGTCTCGGGCCTGACAGCCAAACAAGTTGCCAAATGGACTGTGGAGGAGGTGAGTTACCTGTTCCCTGTTCTGCTCTCCCGGGATGCAGGAATGCCAGAGCACTCTTCCTCTGGAGTGCTTACTGGGAGACATCTTTATTTCCTTTGCTCTCCTAGGCAGTGCTCTTCTGTTTGCTGTGTGTGTGCCACAGCTGACTCAGCTGGAAGTTAGACCCAAGACCTTTATCAGGGAGGGGAAGGACTCCTGTTAACCCTCTGGTATCCACAGCTTATTGCCCTTAACAGGATTCCCTCCCTCCCTCTGTTTATTTACCCTTTGATTTCTCAGTCCTCAGGCCTGAAGCATTATTCTGACAGCAGTTCCCTTTCTCTGATCTCCCTCCCCCTCTCCTGTGACTTTGCTGCTGATTCACTTTTACAGTGCAGAGAATTCCAAGCTGCACTGTGCATGCCCACTCCTGCTGCATCTCCCTGCCTGATTCCCTAGGAACAAAACTGCCCACAGCCTGACCTGATTTCTGGCAGAGGTAGCTGTGCAGCTGGAGATGTGTCTCTGCAGCTCTTGAGATGTCTCCTGTAATTAGGTGGTGTGTGAAAAAGCCAGAGTGTTTTGTGTGCTGAGTAGTTGGTTTTTGCCTCGATGCCTTGGGCATAAATAATATTTCTCTCTGCGCTTGGGAAGTGGTTATAATTTGGATCCTGGTGCTTAATTGCAGGACATTTAATTCCAGAGAAATGTGCTGTAGAGTTGTGCTTGCAAGGATGCAGGGAATCTGCAAAGCAGGAAAAAGGTACTGCTGCTCATGATGCAGAGAGAATCTTCAGAGACTTTTAGAAAGTGCATTTTCCCTAAGTGCCTCTTAACATTGGCTAAATCCTATCTTGACTTCGTTCTTCATGCTGGAGGAGTGGTAGGAGTCTGGTGGGATTTGCAGTGATGTGGGAGATGGGAACCACAGCAGTTTGACAAGGGACAGAGCAATTAGTGCTGATGTTTTAAAACCTGGTCCTTTTTTGTGTTTAGTTGTTGTGGTTTGGTAGTAGCGTTGGGTTTTGGTTGTGGTTTTTTGTTCTTTTTAATAAAAATATCTTAGAATTAAATTCATACCAAGGAGGAAAAAAAAATCTCTGAAAGATTTACTGTTCCTGTCCTTTTGAGAAAGCTTCCAATGATTTGTCCAAAAGGCCTTTTATCAAATCAATAAAGTCAGAAGCAGATAATCCTCTGACATGATAATCAAAATCTCTTTCTTTTGGATAAAACATGAGGCTGCTTCATGGGAGTACAGTGTCAGGATCCAAGCCAAATAAAATTTGTCCTTTGCAGTTGACCTTTAAAGCAACTGCTGGGTAGATTTAACTGGGATATTAGTTTGATAACATATGAGTGTGAGCAGGGACCACAGACATGGATGCAGGGCACTGGATATAGTGATTCAAACCCAGATTAAACTGAACTCTGCTGCACCCTGAAACAACTGGGGAATTTTTGGTTGCCAGTAGCAGTGTGAATGGCACATGAAAAAAGCTCAGTTGCAGCACCACAGTGTACTGGCTGAAGTCATTACAGGTTTTATCTTGAATTTCAGTAAACTGTGTCTGGTTTTTAAAATTATCTTCATCAAAAATTCCCAGAGGAATCAATTTGGGTTCTCTCTGAGCACTTGCAGGATCAACGTGTGCAGTGCAATGTAGCCACAGATCTGGGAGTTGAAAGCAGCAGGACTTGCTGGGTTTTAGGGAGTCCAAAGTACATTTGGTCTGTCAGCATTTGGGCTCCCAACATCTTCCTGCAGGGCAAACATTTGCGTTAGGTTGTGCTTTGAACTCTGCTGCACAAAGGAGTCCTAAAGGAGTCCTGTGCTGATCTGAAACAGGAGTGATGGGGGTGTAAAATTCTCCTTTGGTTTCAGGCTGAATAACTGTTTTTATTTTATAAAACCCACATTAAGGAAAAAAACCAGTTGCTTTAATTTTCTGCTGGTTGAGAGCAGCTGAAATGGCAGAGCAGCAGCAGTAGCAGTACTTAGGGGCCCTCAAGCTAAGAAAGTCGTGGTAACACTGAGCACTCACTAAGAGAAGTTACTTTAATGCAGCCTTGGTATTTATTGAAAGCTTCCTTTCATGTTTTCCGAGCACATACTGTTGACTCATAGAGGAACATTAAGATGTGCTAGAGTTGTATTGTTCATTAGTTAATCCTGCTTCAAATGCCAGTGCCTGGGCGGAGGGGACTGTCCTTTTGCCAAGTGTAAGTAGATTTCTAAATCCCAGTTAACCCAGTTCCTCTCTCTGACCTCAGAGGGGGCCGGTCCTGCAGTAGCTGTTGAAGGGGTGTTGATGGGGCTGCCTCATCACCACGGGCCATCAATCCTGTGCTGATCTCAGTGTGTCTGTCACATCAGCACCTTCCAGAAGGGTTGTGTCCAGTTTCCAGTGTGTTCTCAGGATTGCACAAAGCTCTTTTTCAAGCCCTTTCCCTTCACCAGTGTGCTTTGGGAGTGTAAGAGTTTCCAGCAGGCAGTTCTGAGCTGTGGATGGTTACAGCAGGAAGGGCCAGCAGACTTTTACCTCCTTATAGAAAAGCTCTGATCCCACTGAGATGTTCCCAACCTGTCCAACACCTGTCCCACCCTCACTTTGAGCCCTCCCAGTCACAACCTTTCTCAGGGTTCAAGGCTTCCCTGCCAGTATTGTGTGGTTGTGTAGGATTCTTGTGGTGTTTGTTCTTGTGCTCCCAAGCCTCCCTCGTCCCTCAACTGCCCTGTCTTGGTTTGGGAGCTCTCCTCCCCAGCAGTGACAGCCAGGCAGGTCCCTGTGGCTCAGTGGGGTCTGTCTCATGTCCAGGGGACCTTCTCTCCCGTTTTCTCCTGTTGCATCTTTCTTCCCTCTCTGTTCTCCATTCCTGATAAACCCCAGGGCTGCTGTTTGCTCGAGAGGCCTCTCCAGTGGTGCAGGGAGCTTGCAGTGTCCCTGCAAAGGACTTTGGGGCAGATCAAAGGTCTGTCACTCCGTGTCAGTGACAATAGCCAGCAGCAGTTGTGCAGGGAAGGATACAGGAACAAGCCAAGCCCAGGTCATTCCCTGGAGATGTCTGCCAACCTCTCAGTGCCACAGACACTGAAGAGCACTCAGCTTTTGCCCCAAGGGTTCAACTGTCTTGTAAATTCTCAAAGGAGCCAGACCTGGCAGAACAATTTTCATTTGTGTTTTAATTATTAGCAGACAGGGGGACTCAAAGGAAAGTAGTGTTTTGTTATTTTTATTAATAGGAATTTACACTTCTACAGAAGAAAATTTGGAGTCACCATCCGTCAGAGAAGTGGATTTTAGGGGTTGCCTTTAAGATGGAGTGGAAGAGGAGGACGAAGGAGAGGGATGCTCTGCTTTCAGGTTACATAACAGAAACCACAGGAGTCAGAGCTGCTCCTGCCAGGGCAGAGCAAACCTGGAGGGCACTCTGAGAGCCCTGTTCCTGTCTGGTTGGAACTGGCGGGGAGGGAATGACTCCAAGTCTAGGGGTAGGATGGTCTGGAGCTACAGAGATGTGATTTAGGGGAGACTTTGACAATTTGAGTTGAAGGAAGCCTGAGTTTGACAGTGACCCCTCCCAACTGCTTGTTTGTGTACAGGGAAGAAATGTCACATCTGCAACAACTCACATGGTTATGCCTCATGAAGCAGAGCTGCTCCTGCCAGGGAGCACCCAATTAACAGGAGATGTTTGTTCTGATTATGCCTCAATATACAAATCTCCTATGAACCAGTGAAGCTGCAGCTGGAGAAGACAATGCACATTAAGTCATCCTCGACTGCACACAGGGCTACTCCTCACACTCCTTGGTGTTATATAATCTAACCCCAGGGCTGCTTGCATGACTCCAGGGAGATTATTCCAAATGTTAACAGATTCCTTGCCTAGAAAGGTTTTCCCTAATGTGAAATGTAAAATTAATCCGCTTGGTTCCCCGGATCCTGTGCACCCAGCACAGATTAAATGAAACCAAAACTCCTTTCTTTCTCTTCTGCCTTCCTTCTTCCTTTCCAGCTCTTCTGCCTTTGCATATTGGTAAACCAGCAGTGCTCATTCATTTGGTTTATCTTGTCTCTTACAGGCATGCCATCTTGGGAAACTGTCTAAATCCTTTTTTCATGTTAGTTTTACTTTCCAACAGTAATGTAGAGAAAGTGAAGTTGTGAGTGAATTTAAAGTAGTCTAAGCCATATATAGCTTTTTATCTGGAAAAATAATGTTGATTCTGTGAGAACCTTCTAGAGGAGTGGAGAAACTGGATTCTTACAAGGAGAGAAATGGTCAAATGGCAATAGGGGCAGTTATTGATGGTAGCCAAAATGCAGAGGAGTTGCAGCAACAACCCAGCAATGTTTTCTGTCTACATCTTTCATTAACGTGAGAGTTCTTAGTATTAAAGTTTTAAAAATTCTTGCATAGGGAATTATCATACAGAAATAAAAGGGGTTTTCTTCATGGTGTCTCATTTTAATTGTCTGTGTTTCCTTTCTCTTACATGCATTTCCAGGTGGTGAGCTTTATCCAGCGTTTGCCTGGCTGCAAAGAGCATGCATCTGTGTTCAGGGAAGAGGTAAGTGGGGTGTGCCCAGGCCCTGTGCTGCAGATCCCTGGAATTACAGCAGAGAGCTCAGACCTGCTCAGCCGTTTCATTGCACAGCAGTGGCATTTAGGAGGCAGCCTCAGCATGGAGCTGAATTCCACCATGGCTAATTGCATCCTGCTGCTTTAAATTTCCCCTGCAGTTCCAATCATGGAGCTTATGCTTAACATCCTGTCTTGGACCGTTGTGCCATGGGTTTGGCACTGCTCTAAAGATGCCCTGTTGGAATGGTTAGTGAGGATCTCATCTGCTGCTTCTAACGAGGATATGTGCCTGTTTCTCCTGGGGAGCCTGGCAGGCACAGGGTTTCCCAGGAATTGTTGGCTTCCTCTGTGGGCTGGGGTGAGAGCAGGAGGGGAACCTTTCCTTAGACAAGCAGAGGTCAGAGGGAAATCAGAGCATCTCCTGTGTGAGTTGTGTCCTGTCAATACTGCCATGGGCTGGGCTCTGGTCCCATTTCTGGTATGTTCACCATGGCCTCTGGGAGACCTCCATGGGCACAGGGTGTGGCTGTCCTGGTTTTTGGCACAGCTCTGTAGGTGGATCACAGACAGGGATCTCTTGGGCGTTTCAGCTTCCACTTACACTACAGGTATCACCTTGAAGTTCTTTAGGAGCCCCCAATGAATTTGCACAGATGCACCTTCTCCTGGACTCATCTCACGGTGTGGGAAGCTCGTGGGTGTGGAATTCTTCCCCTCTGTCCTGCTCAGGTGATTCCCCACCTGCAGAGCTCCCTTTAGCTGTGAACACCAGCATCAGAAGCATGTGGGGCTCCTGGAGTGAATCCAGAGGAGAGCACAGAGATGCTCCAGGGGCTGGAGCCCTTCTGCTCTGGAGCTAGGCTGGGAGAGCTGGAGGTGCTCACCTGGAGAAGAGAAGGCTCCAGGGAGACCTCAGAGCCCCTTCCAGGGCCTAAAGGGCTCCAGGAGAGCTGGAGAGGATCTTCAGATGAGGAGTGACAGAGCAAGGGCAATGGCCTTAACCTGAAGGAGGGTGGGCATTAGGAAGAAGTTCCTCCCTATGAGGCCCTGGCACAGGGTGCCCAGAGAAGCTGTGGCTGCCCTATCCTGGAAGTGTCCAAGGCAAGGTTGGACAGGGCTTGGAGCCATCTGGCATAGTGGAAAGTGTCCTTGCCCATGGCAGGGGGTGGAACAAGATGAGCTTTAAGATTCCTTCCAACCAAAACCATCCCGTGATTCTGTCCTCAGAGCTCTCCTGTGTGACTGTAAGAGCTCCAGGGAAGGGCTGGAGCTACTCCTCCTGCATGGCAGTGACTGGAAAGGGCAGGTCTGTAATCGCTGTCTGCTCCAGAGCTGGCTCCCTTTCAGGGGGAATCAGGCTGCAGTGCATTTTGTGGATTTATGTATCTGTGTTTTGTTTTCCCTTGTTTTAAAAACTGTGCAGGCTCACACAAAATAGGAAGCAAAAGAAACAGAGGCTTGCAAAAAGTACTGTCCACTATGTGACAATACAGTAGAACACTCGTGAACTGAATATAGTGGGAATAGTGAAATTTGTTCAAATGAACACATCTTTCACTGTAGCTGTGTTAAAGGGATTTCTAGGGAAGGTGTATACAGAGGTGAGATATACCAGCAAATCTCCTAATAAATCCAACCATTCTCCATATATTTTATTTCTTCCTGAACACAGTGAATACTCTCTGGTTCTGAAAGTGCCATAGCCAGTCTGTTCTAATCCTTACTTTCTGCAGCCTCAAAGTGTGGTTCCCTATGCCCGATTTAGAGGGGCTTGTGTTGTTTTTCCAGTTTGTGCTCAGACCACATTGTCAGTTTGAAATGAAATTAAAACCCTTTTAGCAGTTTGTCTTTGGCCAGAATACAGGTGTGAGTGACAGGAGAACTGAACTTCCCCACACTGTCCAGGATCAGCCTCCAAGTGCTTCATGTCCAGGACAAATAAATCCCTTGCAGAGTTCCCTTGGTGGGGGGCTGGAGGGGGATAAGTTGCTGCTTACATTAGGAGTGAAGAGAACAAATTGTGCACAGAATTCTAAAACCCATCCAAATAAGATAGAACAAAGGAATGAATAATAAAGCACAGACTTGCTTCTAGGTCCAGTTCAGGGCAGGACTGTTTAAAATGAACAAGTATAAGGAAGTGCAATGAAAATGAAGCATAGGAATAAATAATATTGGACACAAAACCATTTTGAAATGTAGGACTGCTTTCCAGCAGTTTTCTGCTCCTCTTGACTCTGTTATTTAATTTAAGCAGCACAGTCCTATTTGTTTCAAGCTATTTTTAACACATTCATTGCAGCAGTGTAGACTTGAGGCAGCTTGAAAATAAGATTCAAGGACATGGTGTGGCCATCTGTGGTCTGGGAGCATTGCTGTCATTCCCAGTGCAGGAATTAACTTCCCAGTTACTCTCAGTAGCAGATTAAGTAACTTGTTGAGGGTCTCTTGTGTGGTGAGAAGCGGGAAAACCAAATCTTCTGGCTCCCAGCTCTTTGCTTTAATCATGTGTTCTCTGAGTTTACTCTGTGTTTCCTCTTGCACCAGACATTGACATCCGAAAATATTCTATTTGGGAAGACTACAAAAATAGCAGAATTGTTACTCTGGCTGGGCTGTCTGTCCAGTGCTGTGTGCTGCACTGGTGAGCATCAAGTGAGAGGAGGAGACGCTGTCAGTCTCTGTAAATGGATTTTAATGGAATAACTTAGGGAGACACTTACTGTTTGTCTGTGTCCATTAATCTTTGGCTTCATCCCTGCAGCATTTGGGGTTTATATTAATTATATCTGTGTTGTCTCTGTGGATGTTCTTGCTCAAGTGAATTTTTAACCTTTTCCAGAAACAGTGTGTCATGATTTTACTCACTGCTACCTACAGCATCCTGTATTTTCACATGGTAGTATGTTCATCACTTGCTTAATTTGCATCTAATCAAATATATGTCCTTGTTGATGGATTAGGAGACTGTTTTTCCAGCCATATTGCGTCTTCACTATGCCTTAGTCTATATAGCATATGGAATCATGGAATGGTTTGAGTTAGAAAGGCCCTGAAAAGCTCACCTCATTCTACCTCTGCCATGGGCAGGACACATGGATGTTCTCTATTTTAGGGAAAGCACTGTGAGATGAGGTCTGTGCCCTTTGGAAAGGAGCCATCATTTGTTGTAGGGCCAGAACTAGGCAAGAATCGCAGATTGGATGGAAATCCTGCAGTGGAAATCCTGCCTGTGCCTTGGTGGTTAATCCCTGTCCTGTTTGTGTTCCAACCTCCAGCAGATTGATGGTGAGGCCTTCCTGCTCCTCAAGCAGAACGACATCGTTAAAATACTCAGCATCAAGCTGGGCCCTGCCCTGAAGATCTACAATGCTATCCTCATGTTCAAGTCTGCAGAAGACAACTGAGAAGAGGTCTTTGGCAGATCCAGGAGGAATTGACAGCTGATCTTCAGCTGTGAGCATTACAACACGCTGGACAGGTGGATTGGGACTCTGATGTATTTTAAGTATAATTTAGTAAAAATGGTTTGAGGTTATAAAAATCCTGCCACAGTCTGGAATATGAGGCAGCTTCACTTCCAAGAAGAGGATATTATTATATTTTGTAATTGAATTTGGTTTTGATATATCAATCTCTTTTTGAGATCAAGAAGAAACCTCCAGTTCTAAGGGGAATCCAGGGTAGCACTGGTGGAGCTGCAGGAGCAAGAAGAAAGTTTTGAGTAAAAGTGGCTTTGTGTCCAGTGATAGTGCCTGAAAGACTGAGTGATCACCAGCGAGATTAATGTGTTCTGTGTAATAAGAGAGGAAAAATATGCACTTCCAAGCAATTCCCCCGTATCCTTCACTGCTGTGACTCAGGAGCTGACCTTTTCAGGACTGATTGTTAAATTCCAGTTTTTCATACTGATCCTGGTTGTTGTGATACCCTTGGCTGCTGGGCTGCTTGTACCCTGGCAGGAAGGGAGCGTGGGCAGAGGGTTTCCATCAGGGATGACTTGCATTGGTTCTGCCAGCAAGCAAAACGTCCTCATTCCTGTCATTCCCTGTCAGGAGGCAAGGGCAGTGCAGGTGGGCTTTGGTTAGGCAAAGATCCCATAAGGATCTGAAGACAGAGAGATGTATTTTAGCTGTAAGTGGGCTTTGGTTAGGCAAAGATCCCATAAGGGCATCTGCTGCTGGAGACAGAGAGATGTATTTTAGCTGTAATTCTCCCATCAGTGCTTTTGTGCAGCTCCTTCTGTGCCAGGAACATCTGGCAAAATGGCACAATCAGGAGCACTTGGGCATTGGTGTGTGTTTGTTCTTGCCCTCTCCACTGTCAGCCAAATGCTAGGAAGAGGGAGTTGGAAAGCCAGCAGTGGCCAGAGAGTGTGTAAACAGATTTCCAAGAAACAAATGGCTTTTCTTTTGAACCATCCAAACTGATGAATGTGAAGTGCTTTGCCCTGTGTCCCTTGAGGTGGGCTTCACTGTGTTCTGCCAGAGAGCTGGAGAGCAGGGCAGCAGCTCCTCTGCCTCTGGGAGGGGAGCAGGCAGGGCACACAGGGATGTGAGATTGGAGAGGAATCGGGACTTAAACAGCAAAATGAGGAAACAATTACTTCCCAAAAGAGAGCTGCTGTGTGTGGGGGAAGAAGTGGAGCCTGGGGCTGTGTTCCTGCCATGTGCAGCCTGTGCTCTCCTGGCTGGGAGCACGGGTGGCTCCTGCTCCAGCAGAGCCAGTTTAAGGAGCATGCCCATGGACATCCTGGGTGAGGGTTTCCACACGGCTACTTCCCAAGTTGTCCTCTCCCCATGGAAGCCCTGGCAGATGTGGTGAGTCCTGCTGGGCTCCGCGTGATGTTCCCACTTGCTGCTGGCAGCACCAGCTCATGGCTCTCCCTTTGGCCACTCTCCCTGATGGCTGTTGGGCTGTTCTAGAACCATCTCAGCTCAGGCAGCCCTTGCAGCCCCTCATCCATAGCTGCCAGGCTGAATCCTGTGTGTGGGAACCCGTGGGAGCACTGGGGGTGTGACCTGGAGCTGCCAAAGGCAGGTTCTGCCCTCAGCCTCTGCCGGGCTGTGTGGGTGTCTCAGGACACTGCATGGTGATGTCATCCATCCACAGGCACCTCAAACTCCCTTGGCATCTCTGCCACCAGCGTGGCTTCCCAGGAGCTGTCAGGAACAGAGTGAACACGCTGTCCATGACTGTGTGGTGACACAAGGAACACACTTGTTCCCCCTTCCTGTGTCACCCACATCCTTTGTCCAACCCCCCTGCTGCTGAGAAGGTTCTTGTGACTTGTCTGAAGCAGAAGGTTCCTTAAAATTGTAAATAGAATCCACACCACTGAAGCAATTCAGTCCTGAAATAATATTTAGAGCAGTTTGTTTCCATGTATTTTTTATTTTTAATAAGAATTTTAGGAGTTTAAGCCTTCACAGAGAAGACACAGGTTTGGTGGGATATTTAATAGCTGGACAGCCAGGCAGCTGCAGGGGAGAAATTTATTGCAGTGTTAAGGACTAGGCAAGGGGTGAATTTAGTTTATTAAAATACATTTTTAGTATGATAACCAGGGTATTCACCAAAGAGTCACATTCCTTTATCCCACTCTGCACATCCAGTGTCAGCATTAAGACTTGAATTGTAAGTGGCATGTCCTGTCCTCTGACAGAACTCGCCTTCTGGGCAAAGCAAAATTGTTTCTTGACAACTGGAACAGAAGATGCAGAGCTGGGCTGTTTTATTCCTGGCTCTCCACTGACTTGCTAAATAATCCTGAGCCCTTCCTTGCCCCACTTCTCCCCTCTGTGACACCCAGCCAGGTGGGGCAAGTGCAATTTTGCCTTTTTCTTGTTTCAAACAAGCAGGTCCTGCCAGATTTTCTGTTTCACCTCCTTCCTTTGGGAGCCTGATTTGGGGGACAGCAGATTGCCTCTAGCAATAAACCAAAATATAATATTAATTCCATTTCTTTTACTATATATAGATGGAGGATGAAGAGAATCAGTTAAACAAGCCATGAGATTCTAGTCAGTGACATTATTCAAACAGAAGAGAAATCTTTAATCCTTGGGGCTTCCGAGCCAGCTGGATCAAAGAGGAAAATGTGTACTTGGAGGTTGTTCAGTGACAGCCAGCACAGTGCTTTCAGCAGGGGGGAAGGAGGAACCTTTTAGGGATGAAAGAAGGAGGAATGTGCTTCTTGTGCCTTTTTTTGTAATCTGATAATTGTCTTTGTAGAGCAAGTAAGAATGTGCACACATCTATTACCCACTCCTTTCCTAAATATAGCTGTATTCCAATTAAATCCAGCAACTTCACAGGACAAAAAGACTTCCAGTGTCTTCCCTGGACACATTTAAAACTCCCTGATATTTACAATATAGCAAAAAACTAAGCCATCTCATCTTTTAGCCCCATAACTTTGCCATTCTGCTTGTGTCAGGGAATGCTGCTTTCCACTGTGTCTCAGTGAGTTGTTCCTGCTGCCAGTCCAAACTCTGCTCTGCCTGTTGCCAGTCCTGCTCCAGGCCTGTGGCATGGCCAGGGCTCTGCAGAGGCCTTTGGTTATCTGATGCCTGCCTTGTGTAATTTGAAACGTGCACTTTGAAGCAAAAATCCAAAAGTTGTGGCTCTGTGGGGAGCAAAACTGAAACTGGTTAATGCCACCTGGGGTTGGGAGGATTTTGAGTCTGCTGGATGTCAGCAAGAACCAGTTGTTGCCCCAGCTGAACCCACGAGTCTCTTAGCAATACAGATAATATTCCTTGGAAGCAACTCGGAGCTGTGACAAGTTCCCATGGGCCAGCAGAGCATTTAGGAATTTCCAGTTCCCAAAATTCCTGGCTGTGTTTTTGTTCCCTTTTTGTTGTTTTTGAAATTCAAAGCAATCAGAATTTTTCTTTTTTTCTCTTCTCCTCGGCTGGAAGTCCTGTTAAATTTTTCCTGTGCCATCACCAACAATCATCCCCGTAATCCAGTAGCAGCAAATTTCAGCTCTGGGTAATGAATCACATTAAAGTTGGACAGGAGCATTTGGCATCGCTGACAGCAAAACTCTGCCGCTGAAGGAAAAGAAAAGCCCAACACTTGGCCCAGGGATAAGCCAGTTCAGCTGTACAAGATTTCCTGCGTGCTACTTTTATGCCCTACTTAGGGATTTATACCACAGAGAGCTTTAAAGTTTTTGACATCCCCCCCATGATGTGATAAGCCAGCTTATTTTGGAGATTCCTGTTACTTGAACTGGAAGCACATGCAGAGGAAGAGAGCAGGGCCTCGGCTCAGCCTCAGAAATGTCTGCCTGTTTTAAACCAAATACTTGAGCTTTTCCACACTAGCCATAACCTTGCACTCCACTGATGCTTTCCTCTGGAAATGTGAATAAAATTAATATAAGTTCACACCTGGTTTGTTTCTTCTGTGTGTGGGGCTGTCCTCAGCAGTGCTCAGGGAGACACGGGGCTGGCTGCCCTGGAGGGCTGGCACTGGGAGGGCTTGGCCATCACATTGTTGTCCTTCCCTTAAACGGCAGTCACAACACAAGGCAGCATCTTCATTTTTATCTCTTATCTCTGGACTTGAGCTCTCCTGGATGTGTTCACAGGACAGCACTGGCTGCTTCAGCTGTGCCTGAGTTTCCAATTCCTCACTCTCCTCTGCTGCTTCCAGGTGTTAATGATAGAATCCTGGGATGATTTGGGATGGAAGGGACCTTAAAGACCATCCAGAGATGGAGTAGCTACAGCTTTTCTGGGCAATCTGTGCCAGGGCCTACCCATCCTCCCAGGGAGTAATTCCTTCCCAATATCCCATCTGTCCCTGCCCTCTGGCAGTGGGAAGCCATTCCTTGTGTCCTGTCCCTGCAGTCCCTTGTCCCCAGTCTCTCTCTGGGTCTCCCAGAGACCCTGTAGACACTGGAAGGCTTGTGGTTTCCTCTTGAATTCCTTAAGTCCTCGTGATTTCCTATCACAATCCCAGAACTTCATCTTCTTAAAGCAGCTCTCAAAGTTGGGTTTTTAACTAAAGCTAGCAAGAACTTGTTCTCAGTATTAATTAATCCATGTTAAAAATGCATTTTGGGGTCTGTCTGTTTTTCCTTTACTTAATGCCCCCCTGAGCTTCACTGTGTGTCCATAACCATGATAATTACCTTACCTTTTCTGCTCTAATCATAATTAGCTGATAAATTGCAAACCATTCTCTAATGTCCCCCAAAATGAGGCATTGAACCTTTCCTCCTGCTCCTCCCCAGGGGTGTCTGGATCTGCACCTGCAGCAGGTCACTGATCCAAGGGCAGAGGAGCCAGGGCCACATTGGCAGCTGAGGTTTGCAAACCTTCTGAAACTAAAAATATGGGAGAGTTGGCTCCCAGCCATAATTTCTAAACTATCCCATCTTCGGAGTAAACATTTGCTCTCATTGGTTTTTCCCTTCCAACGTTTTTGCTTCTATTTAAACCGTGGTTTGTTTGCTTTTGTTACCGTGATCGGATTCCCGGTCTGGGGAGCTGGGCTGCTTGGAGCAGGCTTGGGAACATCAAATGCTGCTCTGTACTCTTGTTAGTTCCCTTGGGACTGTGCTGGGTTTTGTGGCTGTGTCCTTTGCACTTCAGAGATCTGAGTTTCTCCTCAGCAGCAATATTTTTTCCCTCACAATTTTGACGAAAAAGTTTGAGCAGAGCAAGGGGCATCAATCACTCAAATGGCTGATTGCATTTGCAGATTATTCTGCTCTGGCAAACATGGAATTTATTTGTCCCAAGTCATATTTCTCCTTTGGCAGGGAAAACCTGTGGTTGATCTTTTTGCCTGCTCAAATTACTCTTTCAGCCCTGACCATGCTCTGTGGGACTGGTTTGTCCCTTGTGCCAAGACCCATCACACAATGCTCAGTGGGGTTTGCAAACCCCCTGGAGCGACTGGGGGGGTCTCTCATTTTATTGGGTAACCTGCTGTGGGTGTACAAGGACAGGGGTACAGATCCCAACTCTCACCTCACACTGTCTGGATCCTGCACCACCCTGGTTTCCACAACAAATCTCACCTGATAACCTAAAATTCTCAAATCCTACAACTTTCTCAGGAGCAGGAACTGTAAAGATAAACCACTGCACTCCCCTGACAGGCCAACCCAGTGG